ATGGAAAGCAGGGGCCAGGTTTCTGTACTTAACGAGAATTACTACTAAATGTAAATAGAATCTGTAAATAGAATCATAGAATCCCTACAGTGTGGAAACAGGCCCTTCGGCCCAACAAGTTCACACCGATCCTCAGGGCATCCCACCCAGACCAGTCTCCTTGTAACCCACCTAATCTACACATCCCTAAACATTACTGGCAATTTAGCATGGCCAATCCACCTAATCTGCACATCTTTGGCATGTGGGAGGAAACCAGAGCACCCGGAGGAAACCCATGAAGACACGGGGAGAATGTGCAAACTCCACACAGACAGTCGCCTGAGGCTGGAATCGAGCCCGGGTCCCTGGCGCTGTGAGGCAGCGGTGTTAACCACTGAGCCATTGTGCCGGCCCAAATAGATTCTAACTATAGTTTAACAATTATGAATCATTGGCATATAACTAACTAAAACACTAACTCCCTTATAAACAGTCCTTTACACACACACACGCACAAAACATCGGTGTTATGGACAGAGGGAAAACTGAAAGCAGTTCAATGGATCTGCTGAGTTGCTTGTTATGCTGATGAGAATCCTGCTTTTGGGTCTTCCTTCTCCAAGTGTTTTCATTGATTTGCAGCAGGCGCAGATTGGCTAGTTCACACTTATATAAGGGCTCTATCTTATTAACCAAAATTCACAGCTAAGAGCAACTGCTGAAGGAAGAGTAATTGGGTTTCTTCAGGCTTAAAGAGGGTTCTACTGTAGAAAACAGACACACTCCTGAGCGGGCAGAAATTCAAAGGCTTCTCTGTATCTTGTTCACAGGTTCAAGCTGTTCAACTTCCTGAGAACTAATCACAGTTGCTGGCAGGCAGAAGGTCTTTGTCATCAAAACTGGTCACCAGACCACAGATCAATCAGCTACTTGTTGCAAGCTGAATCTCCATTTTTACACACCTCTAAATTAAGCCCAGCCACAGCTTCGCCTATTACTGCTTTTACCAGCAGCTGCATAAACAGTGTTTATAATAAAATTATCAGATTGCTTTCAGAGTCATGCAATAGTCTTTCAGCAATCCTTCGTTTTCAAACTGATTATTTCCTCATTTCAGTCCACAATCAAAATACAGATTTTTTTGTAAAAGATTTTACAGTAAACATGTCCTTCATTCTGACAACACTGGTATTAATTGTCTCAATGTCTCATTCAAATCTCACAATCACATCTCCCATCACTAGTTCCCAAAGAATGTGATTTTTTTGCTTGTTCCAAGAGTTGTCCATTTATATTAATTTTAACTTCCAGGATTAGGTCTCTGCTAATCACCGCTGAATGAAAAGATCATCAAGGCACTCTTAAATCTAGATTCCTTGCTTTCATGTTGTTTACAATTTATGCAGCTTATGGCATGGAAAGCACTTAGAGACAAAATATACCATAAAATCATCTTCTTTTAAAGTCAACTAATAAAGATGTGCTCATAGTTGTACCTATTGCAATGTCCACACACCAAGTGACAACACACAAGTTCCTAACAGGAAATTTGAGAGTAAACTCTTGTTATACCTTTCTGTTTTAATCCACAGAAAGCACATTGGAATATTTTATTGTGTTAAAGGTACTATGTAAATGTAAGTTGGGGTTATGTTCTCCTAGAAAAATGTTTGGTAGAAAATCTTTATTACATGCTACTAAGTGGCTGAATTGCTCACTGTTTTAAATTTCCAAAACAAAATAGTTTAGAAAAAAAAAAATACTTGATATAATCTTGTACAACAATGCTCTGAAATATATTCCAGTTTACGCAATAACTAACCATTAGCGTTAAGGTAGGAATATTTTTTGTGATAATGCTTTCTTCAAAGCTTACTTTTTACATTTTAACTGTACACTGTACCTTTCTGACACATTTTAAAAACACAAGAAATGCCCATATTGGCAATTAATAGTTTTGATACCAGTGCAGTTACAGGAAAAGCCACAGAAACACATTATTTCTGATTGGTTTAAATTGCATTCCTTAGCTATAACCTCGTAAGAGCATTACATAGTAGACCAATTTTCCTTTTATACAAACCCAGCATTCAAATTTATTGTCAATTATAGAGTTTTTTTTTGCTACAGAGTAAAGCCATTACGTTTTGGAAGGACAGTGCTCCACGTATTTGGTTTACAAACATTTGAAGTCTACAGACATTTAGTTTGCTTTACCCAAATGTCAGAAGTAAAGACCTATTAATCCACTACATCACCATTTCGTTTCTAATTAAAAATCAGATTTGATGAAAATATTGGGGACCCAAGTACAACATACCAACTTACTGGGTTCATTTTTTGATGTATTCTGTTAAATATTATAAGGGCAGCGTGGAATTTCCTTTAGAAGAGCATATCTCAAACCAAATCTTGGCAATGACATGGAATGGTGTACTGCAGCATCACAAAAATATCAAAGTACTATAAACCAGTTTACATTTACTTTAGTATAGAAAATATGAAACATTCTGTGCGACTTTAAAATGACTCAAAATTTGACTTTTTATTGTATCCTGAAACAAATGGTGAAAAATCCAAAGAAACATTAAACAGACTTCCTGAATGGAGCTCATGTGGATGGCGAAAATGCACACAATCTCTAGATAAACTCTAGCTTGCCTGCAAAAATTACATTTTGAAAAGGAGCAAATGTTTCCATACTGGTAAGTAATTAAAAATCAGACAACTCATACTATCATGAGCTCAGGAACTATAACTAGTTTCACCCTTGTTGAGCAACAGCAGGATCTGGAATTCTGTTATGGTTTCCTCTCCAGATTACAATTTATGATCTCAGTCCAATACAGGTCTGTAGAAGTTTAGCAATGGAAGTACTAGTCTTAGATTCTTAGCAGCCAATTCACCTGCCAATACTTACTGGTTGAATCAAAAAAAAAAACAAGATGGATTACACAATCCTGTATAATCAGTTGAACATGTTTATAGCTTTGCAAGAATCAGCTTTAGGCAAAACAAAGCAGCCAACTGGAACAAAAATCTTAATGTGGGAAAGAAAAATTAAAACTTAAAATATTCACGTTTTTCGTTTTGCTTACAGTTCACAAAAACATTTACATACCATAAATAATTTTCTGGCACAACTAAAAGCAAAAGCAGTCTACTAACAGATCCTCCTAGTCCTCATCCACTAGCTACCATCAAGAACTGCAGTCCCACCATATAGGCACTGCTTTAGAGTTCTCATTATGCTCAGGTTTTGTAACAGAGTCCTAACAAATTAGTACTAAGGAAAAGGGTCACACCCAAATACACAACTGTTCGACTGCAGAAATGTACTAAACAGTAACAGGAATCTCTCATTGACAAAATTCACAACTGTTACTAATACGCTTTTAACAATACAATTAAAAAAGCAGGACTGCTCTTTTTATAAGCTTCACAGACTGTAGGACTGTTCTGTGTAAAATCAGTTTTACAATACACTAACAGCTCTTTCTACTCCTAAGATCAGCAAAATTTAATTCTCTCAAGACCTGTCATAACATACAGCTCACAGTCTGTGGGATCTCCATTGATAACAGCTCCTACAGGAGGCGGGGACTGGCGCAGCAACTTGTGATTGAAAGAACCCAGAGCTAACTAATTCACTAACTCACTCAGTAATTTGTTAAATAGACAACCAATTCACTCACGCCATAATTTACACACTAACCATGGTAGGTAATTAATTCATTAGCTGACTAATTTACTAACCACATAACTAATCCACTCACTAGAATTACTAATTCACTAAAATCAGAATCAATAATCAAAAATGGGTTTGATGACAGGCCCAACTTCTCTCTGGTCCGTTGCACCCGATCGTTTGGGCTCACCAGCAGTGCTATAGTTATTGCTGTCCTTTCTGCAACTGACACACGATTCCAAATCAATGTCAAAGCTGCTTCCCAAGAAGGGTACTTGCGCTATCTAAACAGCTAGAAAATATCACGCACTAAATTTTTAGCAAGCAACAATTTCAGCTGTAGTCCTTCAAATATCTGGGATTCTGTACACACTTAATTATCTGGTTTCAGTATTATAATTGGGATATATCCTATGATGAGAAAGTGCACTCTGTATCAAGCAATCACAAGGCCTAGTTTTGAAATTTCCTGAAAAGTTACTTTGGAAGCTGTTGGGATGTTTTTAAAACGTGAATCATCTGGCTCACTAAAGCATCCTCCTTTTTTTGAATAATTTCAAAATGCCTCAAAAGCATTTAATGTATTTGGCTTTTAGCAGTAACTATTATGCAGTGAAACAGAGGAGCTACTTGCATCTCCCAGTCAGTAATACGAGCTAGTATATGGAGAGTGTACTGTTCTTCCAATAAAGATAAAGGGCCCTTAAAATGAAACAGAGCCACCGGAAGCGGCACACAGCAATTCGTTCCAACATCTCCTCCGACAATCGATAATTTATAATAAACGTAAACTACAACGCATTCAATCTGGTGGACGGAAAGTCTTTTGCACATTTAAGAAACTCGGCTACGACACCTCTGCAAAAGAAAATCGCGTGTGTTTGTTTAAAAAGCAGCTTTGATCAATTAAAGTCAAGCAAACAACTTAAGAAAAATTGCCAAAAAAAGTCGAGAAAAGTTTGCGCCAACAGCTTCTTCGCCGAGTTTATTCAGATAGGGGCGCGATCACTCTGATCTGTACTTTTTTTGTTGCTAAAGAGTGATACAAGTGTCAGTTTCCCCAAGCCACGGCGGCTGACCGTACTGAATAAACAAACATAATTCCCTCCATTTTCTATCTACAGTTGACAATGAAAGTGACTTGTTTGGTGATATGATCAGTGAAATTGACAGGTGTCGGCCAGTAGCTCCACTGATCCCGCACATGCTGCTCAAACTCCACTTAACTCAACTCCACTCACCCCAGGCTGCACCTTCCCCCACCACCCCACAATGTTTACCTTCCACCCTCCACATCCATCCATGCAGCACTCCCGCGGACGCCACTCACCCCCAGATCACATAATTCGTCTTCACATTCTTCGGCCAGGAGAACTCTCCGAAGATGACCTCGTCCCCTTTCACCACAATCTCCTTCTTCTGGATGTTGTATTGACGCAGTACGCTCAGCACGTCCGCCATCTTGCCTCGGCTCCTAACAACCGGGTCCTGAGAGCCCGGGCTGGCCCGCTGCACTGCCTGTCGAGAAGGGAGAGGGACAGGACCCTCTTGCTGCCCGGGCAGACTGCCTGAGCCGGCGGAAACGGAGGCGTGGATGCTCGCATTGTGGTCGAGTGGAACTGCCGGCTAAAGATCTAAATCAGGAGACTGCAAGGGGTGGGGAAACGAATACACACGCATAGGGAAACTCTTTCATTTCGATGGGGACTGGTGATCAAGTGGTTGCTGAGTTTGCGGGATCTCCATTGACAACGGCTTCTACAGGAGGCGGAGACTGGCGCAGCAACTTGTGGCTGAAAGAACCCAGAGCTAGCTAACTAAGTAATTCTCTAACTCGCTTAGTAATTTGTTAAATAGACAACCACTTCACTAACGTGATAATTTACACACTAACCACGGTAGGTAATTAATTCATTAGCTAACTAATCCACTAACCACATAACTAATCCACTCACTAGAATAACTAATTCACTTTTTTTTTGCCTTCGTGGCCCACACAGCTTGCTGTGAGCCTCAGTTAAGGTGACAATATTATTTAAGATCATGGATAAAGATTCCTTCAATCTTCCGATGGTCAATCTTCTGGTAGAAGAGACTGGTTTGGACAGTGTAAGTGTGACTAATAACATTTAGAATTATGAGTTGCAAAGAAGTTTTATACACATTAACGAATGAGAAAGACTGCACATCCTTTTGGGATGCATGATTGAGAAGTGTGTTTTTATTAAATACAAAATAAGTTAATTGACATCAAACCACTGTCAGCATAATCAAATCTATCATGATGCTGATGCCTAGTGGTTTATAATGCATATGAGTCAGACATATATGCTTGCCATATTTAAGACCTTTCATTTAAGTGATTTTGATTTAGTTTACTGATCAGCAGTTATGCCTCATTAATTATAGATTAAAATTTGTGATAAATGCCTTCCACACCACTGCTCCAGTGAATCCAGATTTTAGCTTTCATTCTACATTAACTCATCCATGTAGGCGACATTACCAACCTGTGAAACAAAGAGTCGTTTATCACCCTCTTCCAATCAGTCTCATTGCTCTCTCACTTATTCTGAACTCCACAGACCCCTTGTACCACTCAGAATTAAAACTCTCACCATTACTTAAAGTTTCTCCATGATCTCACCTAACTCAATACCAGTGACCTCCAGATGTATTATTACACATCTTCACTAACAATAGTCTCTTTGTTTGTTCCTTTTTTCTGCTACATCACCATAATGAGTGTTCCTTTAACATGAGACTGCTTCTGTTATCTAGCTTCGGGCACGTAAGCCCACTCAAAAAATTCTGTTGAGCTATTTCTTTAGCTCCTCCCTCAATCTCTTTGACCACAAGTCCATCATGTAATGTCCTCAAGAAAAGGAGAGGGTTGATCCTCTCAGGTGGTTCACCAGTACTTTACAACAAGCGCTAAAACGTAGCCAACTACTCTGCACTACCACAAGCTGCCCTCAAAGCGACTGCAGGGGGGAGAAGACTGTCACACATCTCCTTCTGGAATGTGCCTTTGCAGAGAAATGCAGGTTTTTGTTGAGGTTTGCCCCAAGCAGCTCCATGACACAGGACTCTGTGTTCTACAGTCTGTTCGCAGGACATACACTGAGACAAACATTGGCTGTGCCTTGAGGACCATTAACAGGGTGAAAGGAAACTTATTAGTCTTCCACTGGAAAGAGTTGACCTTGACCATGTGTTGTAGACTGGCACATTTCAAAGTCCAGGACTGAGTCCTGAACGACACAATAAGGCTTAAGGTAGCTGCTGCCAACGTTCAGTGGGGAAAGACCATGTCCAAGGTCTTCCTGCTAAAGTATAATGAGGGTCCGTTCAGTTTTCAGATGCTCTTGGTTCCTCAAAATGAATGCAAATAGTTCCTGCATGATTGGAAAATACCTTTGCTTTGCAGCTGCAAGGAAGTTCTCAGCAATGTCAAATTCCAGCGTGTGGTTGTGTTTTCTCGCAGATTTTACAGAATTGTCCTAGGACCTTTTGTATATACTTACAGATTTTTTCTTTCATGATAAAGTGTATTGTTGCAATAAAATATCTGTAACCCTCTGGAGTAGTTGGGACTTGAACCGGGTTTTTTTGGTTTAGAGCTAGACACACTACCGCTGTGCCAACAAGAGTCTCGGAACTTTATGGTGCAGCTGACAGCATGTAATGCATTGTGACGGAACCTTAGAGCTAAAACTAGCGATGGAGGTAGTGCATACGATGGACTATTGCTAGCGCTGCCCGCTGCCTCGGAGGTTTGCGGTGAGAGCAAGTTTCAGACTCGTGCCGATATTTAACTCGGAGTTGTTGAACTCGACGCTTTCGCCTCTGACCCTCGGATTTCCCTGCGATTGCTCTCAATAAATATCACATGGAGCAAAGGAAAGAAACTTTTCCGCAAACTCCCCCTTGGCCCGTGCACCTTGACAGTGCAAAGCATCTTACAAACGCGTTCGGCTTCTCTTATCGAACCCAGTGGATATTCCTAACGTTGCTTAAAATGGGAGAATAATTTTTAAAACGGGGAATGCTGGAAAATATTCAGCATATTGGAAATTAAAACTTGATGTTCCAGGTCAGTGACGTGGAAATCGTGTACAGTAGATCCCCATCCGACTTGGACATCGAAACTCAGCTTTAACCAGAAGGGTCGCGAAAGCGTAATAAAACGCACATTTATTTTTCTGACGAATATTTTTAAAACGTACAAATGTGTATAAAGCTTTATAATTTCAGCAATTTCTGTTATGCCTGAATAACGTATTTAATCAGTTTTAGCACGCACACCAGTGCACGTCTACTTCCTTTTGTGAAGATGGGACAGCTTTTTACCAGATTGCCAGAAGAAAAACGCGAGGCTGCTTTGCATTTTATTCGCGTAAGTTTCCTCTCGTTCCGTGTTCTCAATATGTACATCAGTTTTGTCCTCTGTACTCTTTCATTACCTGGTATTGTTCAGCCCAATTAACTGCTTCATTTGTCCACATTTCGAAATTCCCATTCCAGTGGCTTTGAAAATTGTGTTTGTCAAATGCCTGAGCCTGCCTTTTAACCATTCCAGGTCCTACAAGACCGTCAATAGAACAGGCTAATGGCTAGGCCCAAGTTCAAGTAAACCTCTTCTAAGTCTAGTTCTGCAAGAAATTTCATATTCATCTAAAAGTGGACCAAGTGTCTATATGCCATGATGGCTCAGTGGTTAATACTGATGTGTCACAGTGCCAGGGATAAAGGTTCAATTCCACCCTCAGGTGATTGTATGTTCTCCCCTTGTTTGCGTGGGTTTGCTGCTGTTTCCTTCCACAGTCCAAAGATGTATGGATTGGCCTTGCTAAATTGCCCATTGTGTCCAGAGATCTGTAGGTTAGGTGGATTAGCCATGGGAAATGCAGGGTTACAGGGATGGGGTGTGTCTGGGTGCGATCCCCTTTGGAGGGTTAGTGTGGACTTGTTGGGCCAAATGACCTGTTTCAAACTGCAAGAATTCTATGAAATGGTTGCATCTCTTCACAAAAGAGGTAGTTTTATGTTGTTTCTCGAAGAGCCATTGGTGAAAAGACTACATTGTATCAGTCCCTGATAGATTAATTTGTGCAGGAAAGCGCCTTTGAGCAGGCATTCAAACTGTATGAAAGGTCCCCTAGATCCTGCAGGCGGAGGACTGAATAGTTTCTAAGCAGGCAAACCTGTTTGGCAGAATGCTTCATTGCCACAACTTTCAAACAAGAACCAAGATGCCTCTTAACTGGTTGTGAAAATGACTTGCCCTGTCAGATCCTTCTTCCTGCATTTGTGAGTTTCACCACTTTTGTACCTGAAGGTAGCAGTGATAGGGAAGAAGCAATCAACTGATGCCTTCTGAAATGTACCTGTATAAAGAAGGTCTGAACAGAGTTGCAGTAGTTTTGACGCGTTTATCTCCAGAAGCTCCTGAAAGCAGTGCTGTCTGCTCTACAGGCTGCTCTCGGGGCCACAAACTGAAACAAATATGCAGCTGGTGGACTTGGTCTTGGTAAAAGACATTGGTATTTTGCTGCATTTGAAATATAGTTTTGCAAATACTTCACAGAATTGTACACTGCCCAAACATCAGAAGGCTTTCAAAGACTGCCACAGCTTTTTCCATCTGAACTGTAAAGCTACGACATGATATTGATTTTAAAATTGAATGAATGCATTATCATGTAACAGCATAGCCAATCATTAAGTTGATTTGATGTTACCTTTGAGGTAGACAAACTCTTGTGACTGTTCACAAATATTATGGATGTCATGATAGAAATGAAGGGTATCAGGAAGCATAACAAAGAGCTTGTTTGAGTGAATGGATTTTGAAGACTCCTTCAAAGTGAGTGGAAGTTGGAGCATTACAAGAGGATACCACAAAGCAGTTTCTGTGTAGCTGAAGGAAAAGCTCTCATTTTGAGAATCACAGGGTGAAAGGAATATCCAAAAGGATGGAATTTGAGGCAAGGACTGAAGGCACTCTAGTTTCTTTATCTAAGCAACGATATACTGGCATTGGGAGCAGTCCAGAGAAGGTTCACTAGTTTGATCCTGGGTTTGGAGTCATTTTCTTATGAGAAGAGGTTTAGTAGGTTGAGCTTGTACACATCAGAGTTTAAAAGAATGAGAAAAGCGTATATGATTCTTAGGAACCTCGACAGTGTAGATATGCAGAGATTATTTCCCTTATGGGAAAGTGTAGGACCAGATGACATAATCTCAGAATAAAGGGTCACCCATTTAAGACAGGGATAAAGAGGAATTATTTTCTCTAAGGGAGTGAATTATGGAATTCTTTACTGTGGAGCACTGTCAAGGTTAGGTCACTAAGTATATTCAAGGCTGAATTAGACAGATTTCTAATAAGTAAATGAATCAAAGGCATTCATTCAATAGGGTTGAGAAGGAAAGTGGAGGAGGACTATCAGATCATCATGAGCATGATCTCATTGAAAAGCAGACTCGGGCCAAATAGCCTACTTCTGCACCTACACCTTATGGTTTAATGGGCTAAGGCAGTCGACTGCAGGATAGAGATACTAATGAAATATGAGGATATAATCTTAATGTGTCACTGGAAAAAAGCTGATATAGGTTAAACGGAAAATGGATGATTCAAACTGATCTTAGGATTGCTACCAGTGCTATGTACTAGTCAGAGTAGAAATAGCAAAATATGTCAGAAGAATACGTGGCCAGAGAGATGAGGCAAGGTTTCAGATTTCTGCCTTTTCTCACAGCGGGGGGAAGCTGTGAGGAGGAGGAGAAGGGGGTTGGGGGTTGGGGGTTTGGGGGGGGGGGGGGGGGGGGGGTGCGGAGAGAGAGAGAGTGAGACATGGATGCTTTGTGTGTGCCAGCTTGGGATGTCTTCCTTTATTGCTGTTGGCACTTATACCTTTTTAACGCTCTGCAGCTTAACCAATTAAAGAGCTGTTGACAGGCAGAATTTCCTCAACTCAAAAGAATTTGGTGTTGTTCAGTTTTACTGGTTCCAAAAAGCAAAATTGTATTGCACAGATCAATAAGATGAAACATTTTATCTACAACAAAAACTCAGCTGGACTTTCAGATATAGCAGTGCAACTTCTATTCAGTTTATAATCTCCAAAGTGAAAAATGTGACTTCTTAAACATTACAAATGCTATAAGGATACAGAGAAAGAGACTTTAATACTCCATTTTTACTTTTTTCCTTAGTCAAATAGATAATTTCCCAGACAATATTTTCATTAGTTTTGTATTGTTTGAGCCAAGTGTTTGAATTAGCATGTGCTTACTCCCATTACCATAGCATTTCAGGACTTCATTTTCTGTTAGATGATGAATATCTCTTGCTTATGTTCTCAAAAGGCATGAGCCAAAGATATTTCAGTGTAATGGATTTGTTCCTCACCAGTCTGATCAATGCTAAAGCTGCTATGTTTCCCGCTAAACTACAATATTTACACTTAATAAGGCTTCTCATTCAGTGAATTACTCTTTGAGATTGTTGACAAAGCAGAAAGAACTTAGTTCTGAAGAAGGGTCATCAGACCCAAAACGTTAACTCTAATTTCTGTTCACAGATGCTGCCAGACCTGTTGAGCTTTTCCAGCAATTTTTGATTTTTTTTGTTTCTATTTACAGTATTCGCAGTTCTTTCAGTTTTTATTAAGTACTACATGAATGTTCGTTCACAATGATCTTGTAAAATATAGCCAGAATTGAAAAATAAATGAATGATTCAACAAATAATGAACAAACTTAAACAGTTAATTGGCTTCTTACTTGTGAATTATGTTTGATTTTCAGAACCAAGTTGTACAGAATTGTGTAGTTATATTTTCCAAGAGCTATTGTCCTTACTGTATGAAGGCAAAGAACATCTTTGAAGAAATAGGAGCTAATTTCAAGGCAATTGAACTGGATCAGCGCAAGGATGGTGACCACATTCAAAATATTCTTGAGGAATTGACTGGTGTCAGAACAGTAAGTGACCATGACCTACCTGCATTAACCTTAACCCTATCTTCTCAAGTTAATTGTAATTAAACAATATATGTAATCTGTGTAATCAAACCATGGTACAAGGAGCAAGGTGAATAGCTCCCAATCTGAGGACACATTTTAGTGTATTTATTTTCCATAGACCTTGGGGCATTGCATCAAGTTGTCTACAATACAGTTAAATATCTTTAGCTGACCTGAACTAGGATAGGGTAGTGGCCTCTACAGTTTGCATCAACACTCCTGTGTTAAAAGGCAGGAATTTTGCCTTGGCAACCTATCCATGCACTTCAACTTGCTGTGCAAACACCTTTTTGGACATGAATGTATGTGAGTGAGGATTACTACTCCGAAATGCCCCTACGTGACTACTGCTCCAGAACCCATTCACTCACTCACCCACCCACCCACTCTACCCAGCATACCCATTGCCCCATCCAAATCAGCTAAACTACAACTTCCACTTTAATAATGTTAACTCAAAGGTACTGGAACAAGATAATGTCTAAGCCACAAGCCATTTGTTCAGTTAGGAAAATTTAAGGAATTCAGGAAAAGCCTAAGCAGGAGGCTCAACTCACTTGAGATGCATTTGAAAATATTTCTTCTGTAGCTTTAGTAGTGTTTAGTGACACATGTTAATTGCACAATAGTCATTGAATGGTCAACCACTTAGACTTGCATCCAAATCTGATAAAATAATACTACAAAACCATTCACTGGGCAACCAAACCTGCTTAAATCTATGGATTTGTACAGTTTGCAGCATCATTTGAAAGAAGAGGATCATTTAGCTGATATTAGTTAATCCATTCTGGTGTGCACGACAGTCGCACTGTTGCACAATCTCATAGTTTCATAAATGTGTCCAGGGCTTTTGTCTATAATACTCTTACCTTGCAGTTTGTATAATTTGATGAGGAAACCTGTTCAGGAGGAATAAAAAAAATTAGAGTCAAGTTTAATAAACAAGATTTGACATATTATTCTAAAATGTTGTTGTTCTTTTCTCAGGTGCCAAGAGTATTTGTGAATGGAAAATGCATTGGTGGTGCTACAGACACACACAAGCTCCATTCAAATGGTAAACTACTGCCTTTAGTGTTACGGTGTTCTCCACCTTGCAAATGGGATGACAGTTTTTGTCTTAATCGTTCGCATTAATATTGAATTCCTGCATTTTTCTAACTGCTTGTTACTTTTGAAATAAATGATGAAGTTTCAATGCTGTGCCAGATTATTTGTGTATACACAACATACTTCAAACATTTTCCTTCCCTGAACTCCCAAACCTTTTTAGCATTCATAGGTTCCTAGTGCTATTCATTAATTAATCTCTGCATATGATGCTCTTTTTTTAAACATCCAGGCAATGCATTAAAAATACCCTGCCACATTTAACTTGTATTTGTATTATGCTTGGAATTTTAGTTTCAAATATGTTTACTTGCATTCCTTCCCTCCATCCTCCCTTCGATGCCACTGTTATGGACCAGACCAAATCCCTGCAAAATATATGAAAAAGATAGAGCCTAACTTTTTCTTATTTTTAAAGGCATTATGTTCAAGATGGAATTCAATTGGTCAAACTACCAGGCTTGAAGCAAAACACACTTTACTCTTACACTATAGTTAAAATACAAACAAAAGAATTGGAATAACAACTTTATTGGAAAAACTTAACACAATAATAGATCATTTAACTAATAAACAGCAACGGTTCCGATACAGTAACATCCCATAAACTCACATTAGGCAAAGGCAAATTCAGTAAAGTATATTTTCTCATTTGCACTCTCCAGTGCAGGAGGAAAGAACATCAAGAAAAAACTCGGAGAGAGAGAGAACTCAAGTGTTCTGCTGTAGCAGGGAAGCGGTATAGCAGCTTCCAAACCCCAACAGCTACTGGAAGTTAAACTAAAATCCTGATGCTGTGGGAGCTTGACCATCCCTTCATGCTGCTTCTATTGTTACAACATTTTAAAAAACCAAGGCCTCACAAACTGTTTACTTTATTGGCTTGGAACAGACTGCTTGGAGCCTCTGTCTCAACTTCTCTTCATTTTGAAAAAAAGGACAAAATACACCTCTTTAAGTCATAGAATTGTAACAGCCACCCAGAAGACAATAGCTTTGCCTATATGGCAGATATATAAGATGGACATATGAGGGAATTGTGGTAGTATGCATGTGGCATGTGTATCATGGTTGTTACTATATCATTTGTTTTTTATTGCACCTCTTAGCATTTGCATTATGCAGAATTTGATATCCAGTTTCATTCCTTTTATACAGTTTTTTGCAATGTTAATTTGACTTTCACATTCCATGCCACCTGCACCAATCTCTGAACAGAACAGTTGGATGGATAACCTGTTTCCAGACCTTGGTATCTGTTTTGTATACGTCATGAATATTGTACTCATGAACAACTTGGGTTGAGTCTTTCCAGACTTTGGGGACACTCCTTACTCTAATCGGTCTGGCTGTGGTTGAAGATCACCATCTTTTTTTTCATACTGCATCATGCAATGGCATGTTCATGAATCAAAATACTGTGTAACAGGGACAGACATTACATTAATTTTGTGATTTGTCAGTTTATTTGTTTTACATCCAGTCATGAATTAGCATAAAGTTTCTCCAATTAAATATTGGGAAGACCAAAGATATTATTTATGAACCCTGCAAAAAACTCCATATCCTGGCACCAACTGCAGTGTCCCCTGTCCACTGCCTGAGTCTGAACCAGCCCATTTCTATCTTTGGCACACTCCCTAACCTTGAAGACCTTCTGATCACATATCCGCTCCATCACCAAGAATGCATACTTCCACCTCTGAATCATCACCCATCTCCATCTTTGCAAAGCTCATGTGCTGCAGAAACTCTCATCCATGCTGTTATCTGTAAAACTTGACTATTCCAATGATGTCCTGGTCAGCCTCCCAAATCCATCCTCCATCAACTTAACTTTATTCAAAACCTTAATCTTAATCTTCATCATCCCTATGTTCACTGATCCGCAATAATTCAGTAATGTCTCGATTTTGACATTGCTTTCAAATCCATCCCTCTCATTCTAGAACACTTGGATTTCTAGTCCATCATCAATTTTAATCACTCTACCTTTATTGGCCATCTCTTCAAGTGTTTGGGCTGTGGGCCTTTAACTCTCCTCCTTAAAACCTGCCTCTTTGACAGCTAACGTGTTTTAATATATCCATAATAGTGGCTCAGACCTTGTTTGTTAATGCTCCTGTGAAGCACCTTGCTCCATTTTACCATGTTAAAGATGTTATATAAATAAAAGTTGTTGGGTATAAGCAAATAGTCAAAACACAGACGTGGTCATGATATCAGACAAAGCTTAGCCTTTTCTATTATACTGCTGTCATTTTTCTTACTTTACCCCACCTGTGGGTGAGCCCTAGCCATTGCAGCTACTGTGACCCTCTCCAAACCCAGTATCCATGTATGCTTCCATATACTGGACATCAAAGAAGATCAGGAAACCTGGTTGAAATTAAATTCCTGCATCCTTCTCATTCTGCTAAGGGCTAACATGTACAACCTTCCACCTATCTGAATGGCCATTTCAACACAGCAAGAATCAATGTGGAACATTTTGAATTTCACACAGCCATGCCTGCAGTATATTAACTTATCAAGGGAGAAGGAAGATCAAGTTCAGGACTGTTGAAACAAGTTAATGCTTGCAATATTAAATTATTTTCATTAATGTAATACAGTTAAGAGGTTATACTGTGCACAAAATTTCACTAATGCTTATTCTAATTGCCCTTGAACTAAGAACTAAGCAATTCCACAACCAGATCTAAATTCTGAAGTCTTGTCACATCCAGTCATGAATGCTGGTGAAAAAGTAAACAGGTTACTGGAAGTGACAGCTCCACAAATATCACCATCCTCAATAATGAGGGAGCCCAGCATATTAGTGCTAAAAATATGGCTGAAGCACGTTCAAGAATTTTGCCCAGAAGTGTCAAGTGAATGATCCATTTGGCTTCCTCTAGAAATGCCCAGTATCACAGATGCCAGTTTTCAGCCAACCCATGTGATATAGGGTTCAAACCGTTCAGTCCAACTCGTCCATGCCGATCATTTTCCAAAACTAAACTACACTCACTTGCCTGCATTTGGCCCATACCCCTCCAAACCTTTCCAATTCATGTACTTATCCCAATGCCTTTTAAATGTTGTAACTGTACCTGCATCCACCACTTCCTCTGGCAGTTCATTCCACACATAAACCACTCTTTTTAAAAAATGTTGCCCCTCGTGTCATTTTTAAAACTTTCTCCTCTCACCTTAAAAAATATGCCCCCTAATTTTGAACTCCCTCATCCTCGGGAAAAGACCTTTGTTTTTCACCTATTTATGCTCCTCATGATTTTATAAACCTCTGTAAGATCACTCCTCAACCTCTCACATTCCAGTGAAAAATGTCCCAGCTGATTTTTATAACTCAAAACCCTCCATTCCCAGCAACATCCTGGTAAATCTTTTCTGAACTATCTCCAATTTAAAAGTACATTTCCTGTAACAGAGTGACCAGAACTGCACACAGTACTTCAGAATGCTACAACGGCTATGAGCTCTGACAACATCGTGGTGATGTGGCTGAAGACTTGTGCTCCAGAACTGGCTTCATCCCTAACCAAGCTGATCCAGTACAACTACAACACCGGTATCTAACAATGTGGAAAATTGCCCAGATGTGTCATGCATACAAAAAATGGACAAACCCAACCTGGCAATTACCACACTATCAGTCTACTCTCAATCACCAGTGGAATGGTGGAATGTGTTATCATTAGTGCTATCAAACAGAACTTGCTTAACAACAACTTGCTCACTGATGCTCAGTTTGGGTCCCAACGAAACTTAGTTCCTGACCTCATTATACTGTGAGTTCAAACAGGGACTGAAGAGCTGAACTCCAGAGGTGAAGTGAGAATGACTGCCCATAATATTAAGGCTTTGTTGACCAAGTGTAGCATCAAGGAACCCTAGCAAAACTGGAGTCAATGGAAATTGAGACAAACTCCCCACAGATTGGAGTCATATCTACCACAAGGGAAGATGGCTGTAAATTGTTGGAGGTTAGTCATCTCAACTCCAGGACATCTCTGCAGGAGTTCCCCAGGGTAGTGTCTAGGCCCAACCATCTTCAGCTGCTGCATCAATACAGTGTAAACCATCTACAAGATGCAATTCAGAAATTCACCAAGAAATTCTCCTTAGACAGTTCCTACCGATCTCATGACCACTACCATCCAGAAGGACAAGGTCAGCAAATACATGGGAACACCATCACCTGCAAGTTCCTCTCCAATCCACTCACCATCCTGACTTGGAAATATATAACTGTTCTTTCAGTGTCACTGGGTTAAAAACCTGGAACTCCTTCCCTAATGACTCCTTCCATAATAATCTACACCAAATGAACCATTGTGGTTCAAGAAGGCAGCTCGCAGCTCACATTCTGAAGGTCAAGTAGGGATGGGTAATAAATATTGGCCCAGCCAGCAATGCCTACATCCTATGATTTTTTTTAAAGAAAAGAACGAGAAATAGAGTTAACACTTCAAATTGAAGACATTTAATCGGATGTTTTAAGTATTTCCAACATTGTCTGTCTTAATTTCAGATTTGTAAGTATCCATAGCATTTTGCTTTTGTAAAGTATTGAGCACTACTGATGAGAAATGGTTGCAAATGCAACCAGAATCCAGCTAAGGAGTTAAATTCAGGTTATAATTTTAGAGCTGTCAATCTGAATTTTGAGATTACCCAATGATTTCACAGTCATCCCAAGAACAGTAATTCTCAAAGATCTTCACTCAAAGGCTTATGAATTGTTATAATTCTCTACCCCAGTGAACTGTGATTACTCTGCCCTCAGGTATATTTAAGACAGAAAGGCAGAGTTCAGGATGCTGAGAGACATTGAGATAGAAAGTAGATGTGAAGATCAGCTATGATCTTTAGTGAATAGTTTTAAGTAGGCTAGGAGGGCAGAAATGATTTATTCCTGATTTCATTTCATATGCTCCACTACCACGCCACACCAACAATATCTATTATGAACTTTACAACTCCAAAATCAGAATGAATTCACTACACGGCTTTAATGTACTACAGGGATAACGCCGGCAAGATCAGTACTGTGGATTTACTAAAACAAAGTGCATTTAATTACTGGAAAATGCGGTCACTAAAGTGTTGACCTGCAACGTCACAATCATTTCAGTTTGATTTCTTATTAGTGTAATGTTGATACTATTTTAGTAGGTCACTTAAAAACAAAATCCCTTTAAACAGGATGTGAGCCGCTTGATACCCACATCACAAAGGCAGAGCTACGTGATGTAAGTGGCTGCGGTATACAACACACCCGCCTTGTTTTGGACCGGGAGCAAGACGCAAAGTTGAGATCGATCTTCCAAAGCCTGCACCGTCCTTGAACGTCTGGGATGTTCGCGCTGGAAGAGTCTCTACCCCAGCTCAACGTCTATTCAACAGGTTATGTCTCATTTCACAGCTGAAATGCGATACAGTAACAAACCATAGTTCTCTCTCTCTCAAACTTAGAGCCATTGCGACTGACCTTAAAGAGATTTTTCTATCTGTTAATTCCAGTGCTTAGACAGAACTAACAGGATGGGGGGCGTATTTTCTGGACCACAGACATGCCAGTCATATACTGATGCCACGGCTTTCCAGATTATTCACGTGAGTCCCCCATAAAGTTAGATGCAATTTTGCTAATACATTCTACATTTTTTTCCGCGTCGTCAGGTTTTTTTTTGTTTTATGCCTTAGAAAGTTGCAGGAAACGAATGTGCTAATGAAAAAAAATCATTTTTAATATTCGTTCAAGTGGAATATCTAATTCGTGAACGTTAATGATCCCCGTTACTTTGGTATTATTTTTAGTTACATTGTTGAATAATAATTTTCTCTGGGGTGATTTATCTATTTTCAGACTTCCCCAGCATCTTCTCCTAAGAGAAGGCCACTACACTCACTCTCTTGGAAGTTCTGGTATGCTGCTGGTGTCTTGCACCTTGAAAACTAATGCAAAGTACCTATTCAGTTCCTCCGCCATTTCTTTATTCCCTAGAACTAATACTCCAGTCTCATTTTCCAACAGTCTAATGTCTACTCTTGCCTCTCTCTTACCTTTTATTTCTAATAAAAAAACTATTGCAATCTTTTATATTAGGAGCTTGCTTACCCTCATATTTCATCTTTCACTTTGTTGTTTGCTGCAGGCTTTTAAAGGCTTCCCACTAATCTTCATCACATTTTATCCTTTGCTTTCGCTTTTGCGCTGTCCCTTCCCTCGTCAGCCATGGTTGCCTCTTCTTCCGGAGCATGTTTCTTTTTCCTTCGGATGACTTTCTGCTGTTCCTCCCAAATTGCCCCCAGAAATTCCTGCCATTGCTGCTCCACCAGCTTCCGTGCTAGGTTCCCCTTCCAGTCAACTCCAGATGCTTCCCAGGTGTATCAGCAAACAAAATATAGGAGACTTAAAGCTTGGTCGAACATACTTTAAAACAATATCTCATTTTCCATTCAGGGTCCCTTCAGCCTTCAGGACCCAGTAGAGTTCAATATTTTTAGAACATGAACACCTCATTCCATGTCCTTTGCTCATCCCCACACCCCAGGCCTGGTCAGGACATAGGCTACTTTCAGCACAGCCTACCCATTTTCAACTACTTCTGGTTAATCAGCTTTTCTCCTTCCCTAGCTTACTATCATCCATCCCTTTGTTTGCCTTATTATTTTCCTTTCTGGCTGGGCTTTGTGTCCACCTATCCACTTACTCCTTCCTCCGCCAGCCCCTGTCTTCGGCATAAGTACAGTTTTTTCTTACCAGCCATCAGTTCTGAAGAAGGGTAGCTGGACTCGAAACATTAACTCTCCGTTCTCTCCACAGATGCTGCCAGACCTGCTGAGCTTCTCCAGCAATTTCTGATTTTGTTTCAGATCTTCAGCATTTGCAGTCTATTTACTGTTTTATTTACTTTAAAATAGGGTTGTCCAACTTTATTTCGTGGCCAGCTACACTTTCAAATTTATTTTCACTGCATGTGGTTGGGGGTGAAGGGAAGAAAATTTCAGAAAGACAAGTCTTTCCACAACAGTAAACATTAAAATTACTAGAAGAAAAACTGGAAAACAATTACTTAATAAAATTAGCATTAAAAATCATTCGCCAAAGACTCAGGTCATTGGATTGGGCATATGAGTTTTCATCCCAAGACTGCAAAAGGTGACATTTATATTTTATAGATTTGGATTTTTTTAAAGCCATTAATGACTAACTTTTAAAGTATTTTTCTTTGCTCTTTTGGCCAAGAAGCAGAGTTAGAGAAAGAAAACATCCAGGCCCTGACTGCTGATTACCAGTAGGTGGGACCAGCCAAGAAAAAAAGTTAGGTTTAACTAACACTGACTTTGTTTCAAATCTGGTGGGGCACATTCTAAACTGAGTTCTGTGGAATTGCATTTAAGTGGGGATTGGAAACAAGTTACTTTGTAGTCTGGGGGTTTCCATATCTACTATGCTGCTTTGTGGATAGGCTTTTGGGGAGACAGCTGGTGGTGTACTTGCTCAATTCCATTCACTCATACCCAACTAACCACTCACTTAGAATCCCAGACTTCACTGCCTGCGGCCCCTCTTTGAGTAAAAAAAATCTGCCTTCTTGTACCGTAGAGAGCTTTTCCATCCTGGTGGAGGGTTAATCTGCTACTTGCAAAATGCCAATGATCTGGAAAAATAGCCCTTATAGAATCTTACAATATTTTAATTGACTTCCTTGTGCCAGAAAGCTTGATCGAAGCCAGACCCATCAAAAGGGTGGGCACAATTCTCTCAATCACTCACTGTCTGGGAATATGGACAAATAAATTGTGTTCACGTGTCTGCTAATGTTGCCCTTTACTAAGGCACAGCCCATACTTTAATTGCAAACCCATCCCACTCATCATTATGCCTCGACTCCCATTTCCCCAAATGATGGGCTGACTCCTATTCCCCACCCACCCACCCAATCATCTCCTATGATGGTCTGACTCTCAAATCACCCTCCACAATCCCCATGATGGCTCCACTCTCGCACAACCCACACATCATGACCGTTATATTCTTGCTACTGCCTAATCCCAGCTCTAGTTTCTCTCCCACCTAAGACAGTGTCTGCTAGTTCTGAACCTACAGACTCGTCACCATGGCAGCAGGCCATGTGCTGACTGCAAATCACAAAACCTGAAAAACAGACTGTTCCTCTCCCACATTTGCAATGACAAACTTAGTAGTAACCCCTTCTACCCCAACCAGAGACCTGCTGGTTGCTAGCTGGCACCTGTTCCCTCATCTCCAATTAAAGCAAGACACAGAGTGGCGGGAGTAAGTAACGAGTATAATTGGTGGTAAAACCCAGCCAATTTTCACTTCCATTTAAATCAGTGGGAATGAAACATGGTTAGGTTCTACGACAGAAGGGGGCAATCTGCAGCACCAGCACTCCACCAAGTACTGAAGCTGAAAACACTTTTACTTGTGATTATATTGAGATATTTAAAATCATTTTTATTTCAGATCTCATCATTATTTTGATGTCTTGAATGACAAAAACTATTGACAGAATTAGTGAATGCAGTACAAATCCCAAGATGTGGTACATTCATTGACTAATGAGCAAAATCATTTCAAATCAAGCTCAAATGTTCTGAGGAAAGGTCACTCAACCAGAAACGTTAACTCTAATTTCTGTCCACAGATGCTGCCAGACCTGCTGAGCTTATCCAGCAATTTCTGTTTTTGTTTCTAATTTACAGCATCCGCAGTTCTTTCAGTTTTTGTTCAATGGATCAAACAATACTTCGATCTCTTTTTGCCTTGCACCATCATCATCTTTGTTCTTCTCATGTTCCCTTTCCTTTTTCTCTGATGCTGTAAACTATTAGAGACTTTTTTATTAGGCCATGAAATGAAAAAGCATGGGGTTTCATTTCCAGACAGATAGAATTGAAAAGCAAAGTTATTTTAATTTTGAATGGAATTTTGGTTAGACCACACCTGAGACACTGCATGCAGTTCTACCCTCTATTAAAGAAAGTGTACAGAGACACCAGAAAAAAGTCATAGAGTCATACAGCATAGAAACAGACCCTTTGGTCCAACTCGTCCGTGCTGTTCAGACATCCCAATCTGATGTAGTCCCATTTGCCAGCATTGGCCCATATCCCTCTAAACTCTTGCTATTCATATACCTTTATATCCAGATGCCTTTTAAATGTTGTAATTGTACCAGGCTCCACCACTTCCTCTGGCAACTCACTCTATACACAAACCACTCTCTGGATGAAAAAGTTACCCCTCACATCATTTTTAAATCTTTCCCCTAATTTTGGGCTCCCCTATCCTAGGAAAAAAGACCTTGGCTAATCACCCAATCACGGTTTCTCATTGATTTTATAAACCTCTGTAAGGTCATTGCTCAGCCTCTGATGCTCCAGGGAGAAAAGGCCCCAGCCTATTCAGCCTCTCCCTACAATTCAAACCCTCCAGTCCCAGCAATATCCTCGTAAATCTTTGCTGCACCCTGCAAAAGAGAACTGAAATTCCAATGGAACCAAGTGGTTACAACAATCAGGAAAAACTGACTAGGCTAGGATTTCTTTTCTCCAGAAAGTCTGAGAGTTGAACTAATGTTGGCTTTTAGGATTTGGTTGGATGGATGTCGAGAAATGTCCACTTGTGAAGGGCACTAGAAGTGAGCCTGAAAATCTGAAAATAAAAACAGCAAGTGCTGGAAATACTCAATAGATCAGCCCTCATTTGTGGAGAGTTAAACAGTGTTAACATTTCAGGTTAAATATAATTCTTCTTCAGAACTGAAGTCACCATGCTGAATTAAAAACGTTAACTCTTTTTCTCTCGGCAGATGTCCACCACATTCTGTTTTTATTTCAAAACTCGAGATTTTGGCCAATATTTATCTCTCAACTAACGTCTAAAATAGAGGTTCTGATCATTTACTTAATTGCTGTTTTTCAGATCTTGATGTCATTTTTAAAGATTTACAATAATTACTGTATTTAATGCATTTAATTGGCGATAAAGCGCTTTAGAGTATCATAAGGCCAAAACTGCTTTATGAATGGAAGTCTTTCTTTCTTTATGCACATTTTATGCAGAGCCTCTCTTTCAAAAGTATCAGTCCCACATAATGGACCATCCTCTTTGGGAAGTAAGGTGATGATTCAATCAGTGTTGATTTAATCAGGCAGGAACATGATGGGTTGGGATGCTGTCACCTTCCTCCTTTAACCCAATTTAAGTCCAGAGTGGGAAAGTCCGTCCACAGCCTTCCCAGTCCCACCACTAATTAAAGCCTTAAAGTGTGCCATTAATGCCCACTTAAGGGGCTCATCCCACCACAGAAGAACATGCGAGTTAGGACCACAAGTAGGTTATTCAACTTTTCAAGTCTGCACTGCCATTCAGTAAGATTACGACTGATTTATGTTCAGTTTTCCATGATCCTATCTATCCCTTGTCTAAAAAGAATCTCTGTACCTCAGCCTTAAAAATATTTAATGACTTCTACCTCCATCTGCTAGATTTCTGCCATTCATGTGACCTAACTATATCAGTGCACATCCACGTTATGCCATCTTCAAAACATACTTTCCTACCCATCTTTGTGTCATCTGCAAATTTAGCCACAATGCCTTTCATCCCCTTATCTACGTAATTAATATAAATGGAAAAATGTTGACATGTGGAACTGCCTCCTGTAGGATTTCACTTGTCACATCATGCTGATTTGAAAAAGACCTGTTTATCTGTTCTCTGCCAGTCAATTTTCTATCCATGCTCGTGTGTTACCCTTCCTCACGCCTGAACCCCCATTGTGCAACTTTTGAGAGAAAGCTGGTCAAAAGCCTTCTGAAAATTCAAGTTCTGTACATCATCAAGTTCCCCTATATGCATACTGCTTGTTATTTCAAAGAATGATAATAAATTGGTTAATATAATTTCCCTTTCATAAAACAATGCCGAGTCTCCCAGACTGCCTTGAGTTTTTCCAAGTGCAGAGTTATAACCTCCTTAGTGATCGATTCTAACACCTTTCCCAAGGCAGATATCAAGCAAACTAGCCTATAGTTTTGTGTTTTCTGCTTCCCTCCCTTCTTGAATAGAGGAGTTATTTTCCAGTCTAACGGAACATTTCCACAAAACATTTCCTAAAAAGAGGGGATGTGGGGGCCTTGCCAGCTCTCTACCTGGCAGTTAAGACACCTGTCACCTCTACAAGATTCTACCCATTCCCTCCATTTGCTGAACCCTTCAATTCCAACTCACATCATGTCTCTGCTTATCACAAACTGCTTCAAGACCTCATTGAATTATTTCCTTCAAATCAGATTAACATTTGAGGATTCCCAAGCATAACAGAATGGGGATAGGGTTTTGAAAATGGCAGGGAAGTCAGATGTTGAGTTTTTAGAGGAAAGATAATGATGGCAGATTTAAGGGGAGGGGTACAGTACTGAGGAGAGGGAACTGACAACATTAGCTAACAAGGAAATTGTCAAAGCTATAATAAAGAAAATGTTCAAAATTTGCATCTAGCTTATTCAATTTCTTCCTAACATATTCATTAATTTTCAACTTCCATCTGTTTTCCAAAATCCACTATATTTGATAATTACTTTTGGGCTTCTTGACCTCTTGGAAAAGATGATCTTCCTAAGAGAAAATATTGAGTGATTATACAGCAGGTTTTAGACGTGGCTACTTTGCTCATTCTTCCTGGCTGAGGAACGTTTGAGAATTTCGTTTTGAATATTGGAAATGTTTCTCACGGTGCCAAAGCCTGTCACAAAATAACAAATAAGTAATAAGCCCGACAGAAATGAATAAGAAAGGCCAGCCGTATCAATAATAATATTGTACTGCAATAATGAGCAATCAAGTAAAGGATGGGAAGAGAAACAAAACTCTTGAATTCATTTGTTACAGGACACAATTACAAAAAACCGTGTTGTGATCTTTTCCAAAACTACATGCCCTTACTGTGATATTGTAAAGAACATATTTGCAGACCTGGGCATACCCTACAAAGCAATTGAATTAGATCTCCGGAGTGATGGTGTGCATCTCCAGTGTATTCTTACTGAAATGACTGGTATAAAGACAGTAAGTTAATTAGATTTTTACATTCTGTAAATCCTGACTTTTTAAAAAAAATGTTTAAATATATGGCATGAAATTCAAAGATAAAAGCTCTAAAAGATGATGAAGAACGATCTATTAGTGTACATTTAGTTCTTTACTTTAACCAGGATTTCTGTTATTGAAAATATATAGATGTCATTTTACACTACTCAGAATGCATCCTTTCCTTATAAACCTACATGTACACCCAAGAATTATTGAGTGATATGCTGTGTATCATATGGACCCATCTTTAGCCTCCGGTGTCACAGAAATTGTTTTACAAACATTTGAACATTACTCACTTCATTCCTAGATAGTCCCGATTTGAAACGTCAACTTTCCCACTGCTCTGATACTGCCTGACCTGTGTGTTCTTCCAGCTCCACACTATGTTAGACTCACCTCATTCCTATTTCTCCACTCTCTTGTGAACACATTGGCTTTAGTTATGGAAAGCCTCCACCAAAGGCAATAACTCTGCAGCATCTACTCCAAGCAGCCCTTTAAAAAGAATTGAACCAGTGTGAGCAGAATACTTACACATATCTTGTTCATCATGGCAAGCCCATTCCCATTTTCAGTTAGCATCCAGATTGATGTGTACAGGCAGTATTCAATGTGAGATACCATGGTCATTCCCCAGTCCCAAAGTTCCTTTAGTCAAGTAGTTAAAACATCAATTAAGCTGGTGTCCTTTTAGGTCTTCAAAGTGCACTTACTATGCTTGGTTCACATCAAATATTTATTTTAAAAATTATTTTCAGATCTTAAGATAAAGCCGTTAAGTGGCTAACAGTCTGTTCCAGATATACCCAAAGCTCTCCCATTACAACAAGGTGTATTCTGATCACAATAATGATTATTCACCAGCAATAAAGTTATTCCAAACATTTTTCAAAAAAATTTCCTTGAGACATTGGTTCTAATTCAACTTTGCACATTAATTCAATTGATGTCCTGGCTTGGTATAATTTATCATTGTTTACCTTATCTATCCCATTAGGTGCAACTTAATTTGTTCATCTTAGTTGTCTTCTCTCGAGACGGCAAAGCTTGAAGTTCTTAAATCTTTCTTCTTTGTATATCTTTTCCCTCTTGACTGCTACTCTTCTCCGTTTTTTAGTATGTTGAATCTTACTCTTGTGAATTCCACAAAGATAATCTTGAAATATTCACATTTTCATGGTTTGCCACCTCTCTCCAAGCTCGTTTTATATTCTGATTTTTAGAGTTCCGCCATTTAAACTATTTTGCCTTCGAAAGGTTATACTCTATAAATAAATCTTTATCAAATTCAAAAATTCTGATTTGATTACTTAATCTCCAATAAGTATTGTCAGTTTGGTATGGGTGGGGCTGTTTAAAATTGTACTCCTTTAAAAAACAGCCATCATCTGTGCATATTATTTTATATAAGATGCCATCACTACCATCCCTCAATACTCAACAGCACAACTCCTCCTCTCTGAACATAACACACCTCGCCATGAGAACATTTGGACTTGAGTAAACGTGGTCCAGTGTGAACTGGGACAAGTCAAATACAAACTTTAACAATGTCTTCAGGACTACAAATCAAGGAGCCACTAAAGGTCATTAGCTGAAGAACATATGCAATCTACACACCACTATTCCTCCTGCATTTGCCAGGATTTGTATGTTTTCTGACCAAATCATTCTAGTGTTGAGAAACATTTTGCAACAGAACTGATAAGGCCCACTCCATTCAGTGTCTTTTTGCACATTTGAGCCAATTACCACCTCCCAGCCCCTGAAAGTTTGCTTACTGGCAGAAATGACAGTGGAGGACAAAGGAAGGTTGCATGTTGTAGAATAAATTAACAAGAGGTAAAAATAAAGCAGAAAGAAGAATTGCACAAATCCGAAGGAGCCAATCTCTGAGGAGCTAACTCCAATTTCTCAGCACTCTTGTAGACTAGAAAGAGGCAAGACAGCATAAAATTGGACAGTTTCTATTTATGCATACTCTAGTTACTTGTCCTCAGCAGTGTTCATATCAGCAGTTAAAGTATATGATGCAATTCAGGTTAGACAGTGGAGAAAACAAGAATGTAATTTTAAAAAATGCAGTGTTACTCAACACTTCTTATTTTCCTATACAGGTTCCAAAGGTGTTTATAAATGGGACATGCATTGGTGGTGGTTCAGACACTGTTCTACTTCATTCCAAGGGTAGACTGCTGGACATGGTGAATGAATGTGGTCCAAACTCTGCCATAGAAGGAGTCTGCATCCTTCTTTAACATCAAACAGAAGCTTTATTCCCTGCTCACCATTACTTGCGGAATAAACAGGCAAATTAAAATGCATCCAGTTAGACTGATTAGCAAGATTTATTCTAAACACAGTAATTGTTTATGATAAATTACTTAATTATAAAATCAAATTAAACTTGCTTGGTATGGAAGTTGGTCACTTTACCCATGGGGAACGAGGAGTTTTCTTCTTTGAAAGTCACTTTGACCACGTTCATTGACTTTCTAAGTTCAGAAAAGCACTAAAAGTTTAGGAGCAGTTGACCTGCCTGTGCAATTGCTCAATGGCATTGCATTATGAAGAAAAAGAAAACAAAACAAAACAAAAAAAAGGCTCTAAACATCATAGCACTATATATTTTCCCTAACACTTTATTTCAACTGGATTAAAGAATACAAAAAGTGTGTACATTTGATATAAAGGCAGTTAACAGTAATGTTCATATTCTTACAGCATCATCACACTCAGTTTGACAAGTGGTGTTAGTGATTAATTGTCTTTTCAAGTTGCAACCATAAACTTCCATGGAAAGAGTAGCTCTAGAAATGACACAGCAGTAACCTGTTTTAAATTGACACTTGGTAAATTCTGCTTTCAGGTACACAGACAGATAAAGTTCCAAAGTTCAGTGTGACATTACATTTGTATGAACAGGAATAAGTTGGAAACAACTTTATCCTTATTTAAAGAAGTTTTAGTTCAATATGCATAGAGTTTTGTAGAGAGAATCTTGCCAATGGCAATACCTGTTTTAATCAATCCACGTGGTACAGATTTTAAAAGTTAAATTTGCATGTTATACAAAGACCATCTGAATGCCAGCATTAGTTACTACAATCATTGTATGACTTGATCAGTCATATTTAAAAGGTTACTATTGATCTTAATTTTAAATCAGCTAGAAATACAAAAAGGTTACTTTCCTTGCTAATGTGAAACTGATTTGAGTAAACCACACAATCTCTCAAAGCTATTTACACAAGGATGTAAAAGATGAGGTATAAGTAATATGCTGGTATATCAAAAGAATAGATGAGGATGACATATGGGTCAGTGCAGAACCATTAACAAACTTGCATCTTATTGTTCACAAATAATAGTAGCTCTCCTCCCCAGACAGTGGCAATTTTTTATTATGTTGTTCAGATGTGGCAACCACAAAAGAATTTTATCATCCTATTTGTTACTTTGGTCAGATTCAAAATATTGCAAAAGCACAAAGTCTTGTGTTTGTACTTCCAAAAATAAAGTCTTACTAATCATTTTGAAAACGGGCAAAGACGCTGCCACCGCCACCGCCAACCCCCCCACCCCCCCCCCCACCTCAAGTGTCTTGTTCAGCAGAAATCAGACAGCTAACAAGCCATTATTTGAGACTTGCTGGAGAAAAAAAAATCAAAGCTTTTTATTTTGCACACTTCAGGAAAATGTGATTTTTAAAGCAATACTCTGACTCTTACAAATGGCTATTTGTATACCTAAGAAATTGTTTGGAATGCAAGAGCACGGGAATACCTGCAACAACGGCCAAGTGAAAAACGGTTAAAAGTAGGCAAGCTCAGAATGTTCACACACAATCTGCTGAACATGATGGCACATTGTTATTAAATTAAAAAAATGGGAAGACTAAGGAAAAGCTGTTCTGTGTTTCTGTGCAAATCAAGTAGATCATCAATTGTCATAAAGGCAGCAGAGCAATCCAAAAAGCAGATGACAAAAATCCAAAATTTTGTATTAAGTGTAAAAGTGGATTGTATCCTACATGCTCAATTTTCTTTCAAGAGATTACATGCAGCTTCTGTTGTTCTGATAATGTTCCTGTGAGGTGCATCCTGTGAGATATTTTACTAAACTTAAAGGTGCTATACAAATTCAAGTTGTTGTCATAAATGGTCAAATCAAAACTCAAACGTAGACTGTAATGCTGCAAGTTGTTTATTTGGAAACAACTAAATCTCCAAATGTCAGATTTTGGTTTTGGCAGATGAATGTAAAGAGCTTGATTAAATAGTCATGGTATCTAAACTTACAAGTACCTGAGTATTTGCATAGAACATAGTATACTTTTCATAGCATGTATAACAATTTTATTGAGATCTTTTGGTTCAGGCTGGGTAGTGACAAAGTTCAATGCAGTCACAGGAACATTTTTCTTATTATTAATGCCTGCCTTTCTCTGCTGCTGTGTTGTTTTTTTTTCATTACTTTTCCAGTGCAGCAGTTTCTTCAGTTTAGTAATGAAATTGGAGTAATAACATTTTCTCCTGAACCATAGCATAAGACCAATAACCAATGTTATAAAATGTTAACAAACTAAATGCTATTGTGACTGTTGGGTAATAAAGATTTCTACTGTTGAGTTACTGCAGCTGTCATTGACACAATATGAACATGTGTCGGTTTGATTTTAAGAAAATCTTTTGAAACTCTGCAATTTAGACATCTGCCCTGATCAACATGCTTGCGCCATAGACACTGTATGTCTTTTGCCTGGAGTTGATTTTAAGAAAATCTTCTTAAATTCTGGAAATTGGACATTTTTCTGATCAACGAGCATGCAAATGCTTCTAATTATATCCCTCACTAATTCTCTTTACTGAGACAGATTTTAATTTGATTAATGCTAATGATAATGATAACTCCAAAAAGAGCAGGCCATAAAGCCACTTGAGTTAGCCCCATCATTCAATAAGATAATGGCTGAACGTTACATCAATTTCATTATCTCACTAATCCCCTTGATCCCTTGGTGCCCAAAACCTATCATTCTCCAGCTTTGTAAACATTCATCAACAGAACATCCAACAGGTCTCTCAGCTAGACATTTCTCAATCTTCATAGTATTATGAAAGAATACATGTCTAATCAATTCAATCCTAAATGGCCAAACACCTATCCTGAGATCGTGAACCCCAGTTGTAGATTCTCCAGCTACTCAGAATCTATCTTGTCAAGCCCTCTAAGTGTTTTGAACAATTTCAGTTTCAAAACACTTCTCATTTTTCCAAACTTCAGAGAATAAAGGCCCAGTCTGCTCAACTGCTCCACAAAAGACAGCCCTCTCATCTCAAAAATTAAACTAATGAATGTTCATTGCTCTCCCTCTGAGAGGAGAATAATTCTTCTTTAGGCAAGACCAAAACTGTACTCAATGCTTCAGGTAAAGTCTCCCTAAAGCCCTGTATAATTTCTGCATATCTGTATTACACTTGTACATACCATTTGCCTTTCTAATTTCTTCTTGTACCTGCATTTCACATTCTGTGATTTATGTACAAAGACACTCAAATTCCTCTGACCATCAACATTTACTAGTCTCACATTTAAAAAGATACTTGGCTTCTCTGCTCTTCCTACCAAAGTAGATACAAAGTAGAACATTATCCTCCATCTGCCACTTTCTTGCATATTTAGTAGTTGAATTCCTTTTGCATCATCCTTGCAACTCAAGTAAAAAGTTAAGAAACTTACCCCCCACCTGGTTTTTATTTCAACTAACTTATCTTACACTTGATCCACTCATTCGAGTCACTGATGCTGATTGTAAACAGCTAAAGCCTAAGCACTGGTCCTTGCAGCATCTTATGGTTTGCCACTCTGTATAGGCCCATCTCCATTTTCTATCCACTAATTTATTTTATTTTATTAATCCTAATTCCCCAACACCAATCTTTTCTAACAACCATTTTTGTGACAGCACTTTAGTAACTGCTTCATCAAAATTTCTAACCTACATCCACTGGCTTCTTTAGCAATGTTGCTAGTTATCTTTCAAAACCTCTAACAAAGTTGTAAAACACAATAAGAGGAGGAAGTGATGTAGTAGCAATGTCAATAGACAGGTAATCTAGAGGTTTAAGCTAATTTTCTGGGAACACAGGTTCAAATATCACAACTGCAGCTGGTGGAATCAAAATTCAATGAATACATCTGAAATATAAAGCTAATCTCAGCAATTGCAACCGTGACTTCTGGTTCACATAGAATCACAGATTCCATTCACTCTGTAGGAAAGGAGATTGTTACCCGGTCTGACCGACACGCTGCAATATAGTTGACTCTTAACTGCTGCCTGAAATGACCTAGCAAGCCACTCAGTTCAAGGGCAATTAGAGATCACTAACACATACTGGCCTTGCCAATGATGCCCACATCCCATGAAAGGAAAAAGGATTACTGTTTCCTAAAGCCATGTTTCACTCTCTGTGATCTTACAAATGCCCATTAGCACATCTTTAATACTATATTGTAGCATTTTCTACAGGAATTGTATCAGGTTGACTGACCTACAATTTCACATTTTTTCTATTCTTCCTTGCTTGGATAGAAAAGTTAACATTTTCTACCTTCCAAACCACAGGGACTGCCTCTACCTTTCAGGGACTTTTGGAAGATCAAAACTAACGTATCACCATCTCTGCAGACACTTCTTTTAAAACTCCAAGAGTCCTGCATGTCTGGGGAATTTTATTGGCTTTTAAACCCAGTAATTTCTCAGTCATTTTCTACCTAATTATTTCATGTTAGTTGTGCAATGAAATCCAGCTGCAGTTTTATTCTAAAATACCATGACAGTACTTGGTCATCTTTCAAGGCTTAAATTATGAAGTTCTTTATTCCAACAGTCGCTCATTTTTTACATTTCCTCATCACAATTTTCACTAGATCTTCAAGGGTCTACCTGCTCCAATGCAATGCTTTGGACCCAATCTGTCAAATGACATTTTAACATGCTGTTGTGTCATTTTTCTTTGGAGGCATGTACTCAGGCAGATTTAGTCAGGTAGTGACAGGTAAGAGGTCTGACCACATTCCCACTTCTTTACCAACTTCACTTGTGGATAGTATCATTCGTTCTGATGGATCTAAATCAAACAGCTGGCTGAATTGGTTACCATGCCTTTCAGTGTGATTTCTACCAACCATGTATCATGCAAAAAGCAACAAGTACACAAAAATACAGAATGCTCCAAGCCATCTTTCATTTGTCAATGACAACCAGCTGGGCTATTAACTATTGGTAATTACTCCTACCTGCAAAACATGTGGCTACTAAGTCCGTGACTCCACATAAAACTTCCAAATCATCTATCCACACAATCTCCACTGCTATGTCAAGTGTTTTGAACAATCGGATGAAAATGTACAAGACTGAGACATCAATATTTGAAATGTAACCATAACAATATTACCAGTTTGTGTTGTATGCATTTTAACCATTTCTTTTTCCATTAGCTTCATTGATATTCACAAAAGCAGGCTGGAACGACACCGTCATGGGTTTTATACAGAATAGGAAATAGAAGGCTTGGTCTGTAGTCTTATTCATTTAGCCAGGACTGTAAGGGTGCTGCTTGGTAGCCTTTGCTAGTTTTATACATGCATAGAGACATCAAATCAGCATGGCAATCAAGCTTGCCTGCAAAGTCCCCGACAAAACAATCAGAATACGCACATTTTCCAGATGTACATATAACTAATATCCCTTTGTTCCAGTACTGGAGGGAATTGGGGGGAACATACAAGAGGAACTGATTTTAGGAGAAAAGGAGAAGAAAAATATCATTTATAGAAGTTCCCGAAAGAATGGTGCATATAACCTAATGGATAATTGCACAAGATTCTAGTTTGAAAATAAACAAATTTGTCAATATTTTCAGGGTTTGATAGTTTCAAGTTATCAAAAGATTATTCTGCTGAAAACATTTAATGCTTTCCCAACCCAATTTTTATCTTATGGAAATTTTAGCATCTTCATACAAGCCCCCAGTGCCTCTGCTTTACATGTAAAACAATGTAATATTGCATTTTGTTCTTTCAAAAACACACCACTGTAGCAAGGTTTGGAGTTCCATGTCACACCAAGTACATGCTTATAATAGCTTACACTCATAAATCATAAAAATCATGTCAGCTGGCAAACATTGGATTGTTCACAACCAAAGATTTTTGAAGCGTTAGCTCAAGGATAATTTTTAACTGTTCACATAGATATTATTTTCAATTAAGATCATGTTGCATTGAACCCTCAAAATCCAAAAGGCTGAATCAGAACAGCAAAGTTACCTGCATGACTAATACTCCGGCTTAAATTCATTGTTTGCTATGGACTCCACACTTAATACCATCTAGAAAATTATTAATACATGAGATAGACTAGAACACATCAGTCATTAAAGTGAACTATCGTGAAACTGAAATGACACTACTTACTGCAAAATGATATTTTATCGTTAACTTCATCTCATGGAGTTACCTTAATTTTCAATATATCTCCAACTTGCTTTTTCCCAAACCCTCACTGACAGCAGCTACTAAAGTCTAAGATATATATGAAAAGAAATTGCTGGTGAGTGTTAAGGAGAATTTATTTTTGTGGATATGACACTTATGGCTGTCCTTTAAAACCATCTGACAGTTGAATAACAGAAACTTGGAAAAGTAGTAGCATACTTACACATAGGTTTACCATTTATAGTCTAATTTATTTATCACAATCCACCTATAATAAACGCCAATTTACTATATTCTCACCCTGGCTTTAATGCCCATTTCATCCTTTATAAATTCTTTTCATGTAACTGCTATTAAAAGAACTACAGAGTACAATGTATCAGAAATATTTCTTGTCTCAGAATATTCTTGTGACCTAATTCTTCTCAAAAACTTCATCCATTTCCATGATTATAACACCTCAACTCTTGTCAACCTGTTCACAGTAAAAGATTACAATTCAAAAAAGAGTTCTCCACTATTTTATATAATCTATTTACTGTCAGTATGGTCTTATGTAAACCCACTGAATGAAAACAAAAAGAGCACAACTTTGGTTGCCGCTCTACTTAGATGTTTCTAGTTGAGGTTATAAATGCCTCCACAGCAGACAGCCAAAAGCAAACTATAATTAAAACAATTTGCTGTGGCAGAACATTCTTGAAATCCAATTACAGATCATGCCATTTATAGTGTCTTGTTAATTCAAACAGGCACTCTACCAAGAACTTAGCAATCCATAACGTGTGTGTTTCATTTATGCAGTCCTAGAAACCTGATGAGTAATTACTTTCTGACTAAATAATTCAACGATTTCTTCCAATATTTAAATCAAATCCAATGCAAAGTTTTGAATGACATCCAGAGCCCCAGAATCAAAGCCACAAATATCCAGCATGCCTTTGTCATCCGGGTCGGCAATGGTGAAACCATTAGAAGCCAATCCACAGACAATCAATTTGGCAGGAAGGCCCATGTTCTGTAACAAAATAAACACAAAAAGCAATAAGCCTATCAATTGAAGATGATCTGAATCAATCTCTCTCTACAGATGCTACTTGATTTCTGAGTATTTCCAGCATTTTCTGTTTTGATTGCACATTTCTGGCAACTGCAGTGTTTTACATTTGAATGATTCAAATTGACAAAATCATAGCTAATATTTGCACGTCTTTGGCTGTGTTCATATTGTAGGACTATATGGGCAATATTTCTCTCAAGAAGCGCAAAGCTTCAACTGCTACAATGGAATTGTCTTTTCTTTAGTTATAGAATAACTACATCAAATTTGTTGCGTCACTAATTTTCATCGACTTTCTGAATGGTTGGGAATGATCATTCAGACAACTTGTCAGAGACTTGCTCACTTTTGATGGTCCATACCTCTCGAAATAGCATCTGTAATCCCGTTAGTATCTTGAAGGTACCATTGAAAATTACCGTTTTTATGGGTTCTGTATAGAGACACAAATGCTAGCTCATTGATAATACTGCTATGCCATTAAAGGGTTGATGCTGATGGAAGTCTGTAAGGTGAATGTTGTATTTACTCTAATCTAGTTCATACATCTCTGGATCATCAATCATCTTAGTACAACACATTACTTCAGGTACACTAAAATCACACTTCTCAAGCACCTCAGTTAGGAGTTGGGATTTGTACTCTGAATATTCGCCACCAGCATTTGCTAATGTAAATGGAAAACAGCTGCAAGATCTAGAGGAACAGAATAGTTGAATTCTTTGTGTTAATTTGAATGTGCAACAAATGTGTGAGGGACATCTCTAATTCCCCTCTCACTTAAGTAATTTCTCCTCAAGGTATTGCAACGATTTGTGTTAATCATAAATGTTGTTGGCTCTAAATACATGCAAGTAGCTAGGGAAATGAAGAATATGCGGGTACAAGTGATAGGAATTCTAATAGAATGTCATCAATTATTGTGAGGAATTGAATACTAAAATAGGGAGGTTACGCTTCAATTAAACAAGGCGCTGTTCAGACCATCTATGGAGCACTGTGCACATTATTGGTCACCTTAAAGAAGGATGTAAATGCATTGGATGCATTTCAGAGAAGGTTCACTGGACTAATACTTGGAATAGGCAGATTGAGTTATGAGGAAAAGCTGCACAGTCTTATATGCGCTGGAGTTTAGAACTTGATTGAAAGATAAAATTCTCAAGCATTTTGATAGGGTAGATGAGGATTTTTTTTATTCATTCACGGGATGAGAGTGAGGCTAGCTTTTACTGCCCATTTCTAATTGCCCAGAGGGCAGTTAAGAGTCAACTACATTGCTATGGGTCTACAGTCACATGTAGGCCAGGCCAGACCAGACCAGGTAAGGATGGCAGTTTCCTTCCTTAAAGGATATTAGTGAACCAGGTGGAACAAAAACAAAGTTGCTGGTAAAGCTCAGCAGGTCTGGCAGCATCTGTGAAGGAAAAGACAGAGTTAACATTTCACGTCCGGTGACCCTTCCACAGATCTGATGGTGGCTGGGAAAATGTCAGTTTATATGCAGAAAAAAGGGAGGAGGATGGGGTAGGGAGTAAACGATAGGATAGAACCTAAAGAGAGAGAAGAGCAGTTGGTTAGACAGAGTCGATAACGATTAGGCTGGGAGGGTGAATAGTTGTTAATGGGGACTATAAGTGACTAACATGTAATGGCGGGCTATGTGATAACAAGGCCTGGTGGAGCGTACACTGGGTGATCACTTCACAGAACAGCTACACTCTGCTTGCAAAAAAGACCCTGAACTACCTGTTGCCTGCCACTTCAACGTACCACTCTGTTCTCTGGCCAACATCTCTGTCTCTGGCTAGCTGCAGTGTTCCAGCAAACTCAACACAAGCTGGAAGAACAACACCTCATTTTCTGCTTGGGAATCCTGCGGCCCTCCGGACTCAATATAGAGTTCAATAATTTTAGGGCTTAAACTCTCCCATGTCCCAGCCCCCTACCCCACATACCAGGCCTTGTTACCACATAAAAACCGAAAGAACTGCAGATGCTGTAAATCAGGAACAAAAACAAAGTTGCTGGAAAAGCTCAGCAGGTCAGGCAGCACCTGTGAAGGAAAAAAACAGAGTTAACGTTTCCGGTCCGGTGAGGAAGGGCTCTGACAAAGGGTCACCAGACTCAAAACGTTAACTCTGTTTTTTCCTTCACAGATGCTGCCAGACCAGCTGAGTTTTCCAGCAACTTTGGTTTTGTTCCTTGTTACCAAATAGCCTGCCATCATACACCACCTGTTGTTAGTCATTAACAGTCCCCATTAACAACTATTCACCCTCCCAGCCTAATTGTTATCAACTCTTTGTCTATCCATCCACTCTTCTCTCTCTTTAGGCTCTATCATATCGTTTACTCCCTACCCCATCCCCCTCCCTTTTTTCTGCATATAAATTGACGTTTTCCCAGCCACCATCAGTTCTGAGGAAGGGTCACTGGACCTGAAATGTTAACTCTGTTTTATCCTTCACAGATGCTGCCAGACCTGCTGGGCTTTTCCAGCAACTTTGTTTGTGTTCCTGATTCACAGCATCTGCAGTTCTTTCAGTTTTCATTGAACCAGATGGGTTTTTCTGACAATTGACAATGGATTCATAGTCATCATTTGACTCTTAATTCCAGATTTTTATTGAAGTCAAATTCCTGGTCCCTAGGACATTACCTGGGTCCCTGGATTAACAATCCAGCAATAATACCATTAGGCCATTGCCATTCCCAAATATCATTTCTGTTATCAGAAAATCTAGAACTAGGAGTTACTGTTTAAAAATCAGGCGTCATCCATTTAAAACAAAGTTTAGGCACAATATTTTCTCAGAGGTTTGGGAACCTTTGGAACTCCGTCCCCAAAATGATAATGGAAGCAGAATCCTTGAAAATTTTTCAGGCAGCAGCAGATAACCTTCAAAGCTTTGCTTAACAAGAATTTATGAAGAGTAGGCGGGAATGTGGACTAAAGTTACAATCAGATCAGCCACAACCTTATTGAATGGTGGAGCAGGCTGAATGGGCTGAATGCCCTACTCTTGCTACTGATTTGTATGTTTGTATTAATTGTAGCATCCCAATGTCTATCAGTGCCAAAATCTTAGCATATTGAAGTAAAGTGCAGATTCTACTGGTCAGGATGGTTCACTACTATGCTGGTTGATAGATTTTCTACAGAGCCATTGTGCTGGCTCAATTTCTAGTGAGCTTCCAAATGTCAAATTATAACATATTACATATCATGTCAGTATATTTTCCTGGATAAAAAGGAAATTATAAACAATTCACACCAAATTGCAATTCTTCATCCTCACTCCTGAAGATGTTAAACTTTAGTACACAGTTAATGTTTCTCCGGTGCTGAGCATGTTAGGTGTTTCATCCAAATAGCTATTATTCATATTGAGCTGAATGAGGAGCATTGGCAGCTGATTCAGCTGTGGAAATTATTACAGCCAAGTCCAATTTTGTCTTATCACAAGTGACCAACACACATCTTGCTAGCAGCAATTACCATTTAATAATTACAGAAAGGACATCTGACCATCAGTCCTCCTCTAATCCAGGAGTGCAGTTACCACGTAGCTCCTCTTTCTTGCAACGTTTCCAGACAACGCTTCTCAGGCAACGGACTGACACCAGCACCTTTCTGATTCTAGACAGGAACTACAGCATATTTCTAACAATGCTGCATGCTACAAATGTTTGAGTTTGTTTCACATTTCCCAAATCTAATGTGAACTGCCTTGTAAAAATTGTTACATTGTGAGATTATTGTAAGATAATTCTCTCACCTTTCTGTATTCTCTTAAAGCATCTACTGGATGCATATTTCCATAATATGTCTCATTATCAGTAAAGACAAGGAACACGTCTGCAACAGTTTTTGTCTTATTAGCCCATAACATGGGGAGAGCACAGTCCGTGGCACCAAAGGGAACCTGTTAAAAGAAACGTTCAAAATTGTCTTTAAAATTAAAACTAAATCACTTTCGTTTCAGGTGAGAAAAGAAAGTAGAAGTTGGGAATACTGGAGATATAAAGAATTCAAACAATTCTTTTTTTAATTACTGCATTAAAGTGGGAGAAAAACACCATTGCATCTTTAAAGTTTAAGGGAAGGTTGTCCAGGAAAATACGTGCAATTACTTGGGCAGCACATTGGCTCATTGGTTAGCACTGTTGCCTCACAGCGCCAGGGACCTGGGTTGGATTCCACCCTCAGGTGACTGTCTGTGTGGAGTTTGCGCATTCTCCCCATGTCTGTGTGGATTTGCGCCAGCTTCCTCCCACAGTCCAAAGATGTGCAGGCTAGGTGGACTGCCCATGCTAAATTGCCCCATAGTGTCCAGGGATGTGCAGGCTACATGCTTTTGCCAATGGGAAATGCAGTGTTACAGGGATAGGGGTCAGTCTGGGTTGGATGCTCTTCCGAGGGTCGGTGTGGACTCGATGGGCCAAAATTGCCTGCTTCCACACTGTAGGGATTCTACGAACTAGGACCAACACGTGTGCAAAAATCTTGGCACCCAACATCGTCACATCATCAAAAGTAATATCTACTAAAGCTACTGAGCATGGAACTGAGTGAATAAAAATACATCTAGAGCACTCACTAAATTAATCTGCACTAACACTCATGCCGGTATATAGTGAAAGTTTATTTCTAACCATACAATGAAGAACAGCTCAATTTTTAAAGAAAGTCCCATGGTTGATGATGCACCGTCTTTATATGGATTCTGAAATAATCTTTCCTCCACAGCTGAACTATTAATATTGACTTTTAGAACTGCAGGAACAAAGTTAGCAAAATGGGTAAAATACAGATAGATGCTGTTACTGCCAACGTAGATCAAGCTCATAGGCTTTATGAAAATTGAAGTTAAAAAATGTAAAGATTTTACATTACCGCACGCATGGCAGTAAATACTTCATCCATTGTCATTTCTGAAGTGATGTGTAATGGAACCATTTCATCAGAGAAAGCAACTATTGTAAAATTGGTTTCTGTGCGTGCAACTACCTAAAAAAAAGAGAACTCATGATGGTTACTCCTTCTAGACAGGACTAAGATATTCATGTACTATTAAACACTTTGAAGGTAATCATTGACCAGAATGATGACTGGACAAGCCATGTAAACACTGTGACCATAAAAGATTGGGAACTCTGTGCTGAATAACTCATCTCCTGATTTCCCAAAACCTGTCCACCATCCACAAAGCAGTCATGACTGTGATGGAATACTCTTCAGAAGCCTGAATCCAACACAAGATCAGCAGCAAACAAGGCAAAGCAGCCTGCTGAGCAGTACACCATGCACAACAAACTGCTTATCTCTTTGACTGTTTACAACAAGCAAGATACTGACTGTACTAACCAGCCCGTACTTGCAAAACTCACAACGGTGTCCAACTCTAGACGTGATTCCACAATTGGACAACTTTTTCCTCAATAACTCCTGACTGCGCAAAGAATTAAGCTGAGAAAGAATTTAAGTGGTCGGCTGGACTTTCAGGGTGGCGCAATTGTACGTGTAGAAGCTACACTAGCCGACCAATCAGCCCCCTCCTCTTGGAGACAGAAAGGACTGCAGGTGCTGGAGGCTAGAGTCAGAAAATGTGGAGCTGGAAAAGCATAGCAGGTCAGACAGCATCCAAGGAGCAGGAAAGTCAACGTTTCAGGTCAGAACCCTTCTTCAACTCTCCTCTCATAAGTATAAATGCTATTTTCCCTGTTTTATTAGTATGTTTTCCAAATTGTTCTTATCAGTACAAATCAAAAAGCTTTGACAAAATGTGTTTTTGTTCAGCAACACTCAAGTTCTGTACTACCAAACAACTATGAGCATAAAAAAATTTCTATTTGGTATAGATTTGAGGAGCATTGTTTTCAACTATTCTTAAAGAAATTAATAGGCATATTTCTACAGAACCATTTTCTTCAACATCCAATGATAAAGAACAAGCTGTCCAATGACAAATATAAATAGCATAATCTGCTTGTCAGTACATCAGTAGATCTCTGCTACCACGCTTGGATGTTCTTTGAGCATGCGAAGGAGACAACATGCACGTGTCCTGTAATTCCAGATAAACTATCCTACTCACATGCAAGGGCACCTCAACATTAATATCTTATATGGTTTTATTGTTCCAATTGGTTTTGATTGCATGTAAGGGCAACCTCTTCCTTGACAAATTTCAATCTTGTTTACTCTGACAGTGCCTGGAAAAACCTCTCCCCAAGCCTCCTAAATCCTAAGTGTGAGGGAGTGTATTAAGTTTTTCTCACCAAGAGTTAAGCCATTCATTTCATTGCTACTCCTCACTTTGCATACACCAACAGTTCTCAACCTTTTCACTATTGATGCCCCTCTCTCCTCTTATGAAATTTGCACACACACCCTCGAACACAAGTACTTCTTCTGTATAAAAATGTCATAGAATTAAACATAAATTTTGTTTAACTTTATTTAATGCTGTTTTAAATGTTAGATGGTTGAACAGAGGTGGATCAAATGATGTATCTCACTTGTAAATTGAATGATCTTGTGGAAATGGCTATTTGTTTGTAGTAAATCAAATTAATGAAACCAATAAATGGTGGTCACATTGTAAGGACTAGTATGGGCAAGCTGCAGAGCAATTCTGGTACAATATGACTGGAAAATTTCTGAGCTGGCAGCATGGCTGGAAAAGGTTTGAGGAATTTGCCCTGCTTTCATCAACAAACAAAACAAAATAATGTACCCATGAAGACTGCAAGCAGCTACAGTTAGAATCATACAGCACGGAAACAGACCCTTCGGTCCAACCAGTCCATGTCAAACATAATTCCAAATTAAATCTTCAAACCTTTCCTATTCATGTATCCATCCAAATGTCTTTTAAACATTGTGATTGTACCTGCATCTACCACTTCCTCAGGAAGTTCATTCCACACACGAACCACCCCCTGTGTAAAAAAATTGCCTCTTATGTCTTTTTTAAATTTTTTTCCTGTCACCTTAAAAATGGGCCTTCTAGTCTTGAAATTCCCCATCTTAGGGAAAAAGACAAGTATCATCAAGTCTATCTATACCTCTCATTATTTTATAAAACTTCTATCAGTTCACCTCTCAAACTCCTACGCTCCAGAGAAAATAGTCCCAGCCTATCCAGCCTTTCTTTATAAGTGAAACCTTCCACACCCTGCAACATCCTGGTAAATTTCTTCTGAACCCTCTCCAGCTTGATAATATCCTTCCTACAACTGGGCGACTAGAACTGGACACAGTATTCCAGAAGAGGCCTCACTAATGTCCTGCACAACCCCAACATAACGTCCCAACTCCTATACTCAAGCATGCCAAACACCTTTTTAACCATCCTGTATATATGTGACGCATACTTTAAAGAATTATGTACCTGCACCCCTAGGTCCGTCTGTTACACAGAACTTAACCTAGCTGGAGACGATTACAAAAATATCAAGTAGGTATTCAACATTGCTTTTTACTCAGGAGAGAGCAACAACAGTTTTGAATGAGTTTGTCAATTTTTAAACAACTGGGATCTTTTTGGTGGGAGTTGAAAGGGTTCATGCACAATACCCAGATGCAATTTAGGAAGTTGACAAACAGCTTTGCAGTAGCAAAATCTTGTACATAATGCTCCTGCAACTACCTTGGTGCTATATAAATGCAAGTTATTTTTGTTGTGCCCGTGGAATCAGAAGTTTTACGCCAGTAATGAAATGAAGAAAGTGTCACTGCAACTGGCTCCTACGGCAGACTTCCAGGAAGCCACTGGTCGTTTCAACTTTCTAGTGCCACCTAGTGGCTGATTACACAAGAACAAAACTTTGATAAAACACGCACTATTCAAATTACCCATCCAGAGGAAAATGGAAGTGTGGAAAGAAAGGAAAAAACTGGAAATAGTAATTTCTATTCAAAAAGTATCATGCAATGATTAATTTGGGAACCTTGCAAATACTTATTTTAATACTGATTTTTAAAAATTATAACAATAAATTTGTACTAATATACAAAAGAAATTGGGAAAACACTAAAGCAAGAACTGGTTTGTAAATGCATCTTACCATTGACATAGCTGCAGCAACACTATAAGCATAAAGTGCTCTGCATCCTAGAACCTGACTGCACATGGAAGTGCTGACATCTAAGGCCAAAACAAAGCGCCTTCCAGTTGGTTCCACATTCTATAACAATACACAAAAATACTTAATTTATTTTCCACAAATCATAAAACATGTTATGAGGTTGGAAAATGACGTACATTATTACCTTGAAAGCTTTATAAAATGCCTTATCAAGTGCTAATAAAATTTCTGGATCAGGATGCCACTTTAGCTTTCCTCGGTTTCCTTTTCCTCCCTTGTATGTTTCTAGAGCCACCAAAATGTGAAATGGATGGATTCCAGCCTAGAATTCAAACATAAATGTGTTCTTGACAAATATAATCTATATGTGGTTCAAAAACATCAATGCATTATTTCCCTCACTCAATATTATGCCCTCAACCCTCATCCTGAAGGTGTTCACTATATTTAAGTGTCTTTTCAGATTAGTAATAGCCTTTAATATTTTGCTCAAAGGATCACAGTTCACGTAGGCATATTTTTATAAATGATGCACTTTCTTAACTTTGCTACCACCCAAACAGTATTTGCTTACTTAAAAATACTGATAAACAGCTATTCCATCAAGACAAGTTTTGCAATTAAGTTTAATTATTTTTGTTTTGTACATAAGGAATTGGGACAGAGTGAAAAAATAGGAAAAAAAAATTCAGGTTTTATTTTGTTAAATTCTCCAATAATAAGACAAATTCTAAAGTAATTCCAGAGCAGTTGTCCATCAATAATTAAGAATTAACGCACCTTTAAAACTGTATCTACATTTGAATGCTCCATCCCTAACATTTTCGTCCCTGTTTAAATGAGCAAATATAGCAACTTGGATGGATTTGAATGCCAGATCAATCAAAAGGAATCGATGGAGCATGATTCGAGTTACAGAAGAGAAACTCAAAGATATCAGTCGTTTGCTTTCAATTGCATATGTATGGACTCCAACAATTGCTATCCATTTGCCTCACTTTGCCTGTTGATGCAACATCCAGGTTAATAATTAGATATCTTAATTATATATTTGGCAAGCAGTAACTAGTGGAGTGCCACTGGGATCAATGTAGGGGCTATAATTATTTATAATCTTTACCAATGACTTGGATGTGGAGATCAATTGTATGGTAGCTGAATTTTGCAACGACAAGTTACATAAGAAACAAAAACAGAAATTGTTGCTGGAAAAATTCTTCTGAAGAGGGTCAGAGACATTAAAGCTGCTTTCTGCTGCCAGGTCTGCTGAGTTTCTCCAACAATTTCTGTTTTTGTTTCAGATTTTGAGCATCCGCAGTTCTTTGTTTTATATTAAGGTAGATAAGAAAGTGAATTGTCAAGATGAGATAGAAAGTCTGCTCCAAATTTTCAGTAGAATGTGATTAGGAGCAGCTGTGGTTGGAAGCATGTTCTATTGCCTTTACTAACTGAAAGTCAATTATTACAAATATTTAGGTAGAAAATCATACCTTCTTTAAGATAGTCTCATTGTTCAATCTTTCACAAACCATGGTAACCTCTTCACTTCCTGGTTTAAGAATAGAGTCTGTAGTCATTTTTCCCAAATTTTTAAGCATTGTAATAACTGGCATATCCTTCAATAATGCCCTCCACACCTAATAAGAGGGGGAGAAAAAAACAGTGTAAGACAGAAAATGGTGCAAAAACACAGCAAGTCTGAAAGCACCTGTGGACAGAGAAAAGCAGAGTTAATATTTCAAGTCAGTGAAGAAACACATTACTCTGGTTCTGTATTATACATCAGTACTTCAAGATGCAACACTGTGAATGCCTATGTTCAACATAAAAGTACAATATTTAGTGCTGTCCATGGAGCGAAGAGGGAGGCAAGAAATATATATTCTGGAAAGTCAGTGGAAAAAGACAGAACATCAATTCTTAGATACTTCTGTATTCATTTAATTATGAAGGCTCACCTTTTTTAGCTTGCAACTTCTAAACCATCAAACATAGTTTCAGCCTTCCTCCACTTAAATTTGTACTAAATTTAACTACCCATTTAATTTTAAGAGATTTCCTTTCCAATGAGTCAGCAAGTTAATACACGATCCTTTCTCATTTATACTGTTTTGACAGTGTACGTTATCCCACATAATGGATAACGTGAGAAATTATTCATTCAGTATATCACATTCCATATGGCCTTCAATATGGCTGATTGGCCAACTCATTACACTGTTCCTGCTTTCTCCCTATATTCTTTGATCACTTTAGACTCAAGACTATTTCTGACTCCTTGAAAACATTCTCAACTGCTCAATCACACAATTCCACAAGCTCTCCACTCCCTGGGTGAAGAAATTTTTCTTCATCTCAGTTTAAAATGGTCTGCAAACATAGGCTGTGACTGGTTTCCATGTGATTCCTCCTCAATCTTCTAAACTCCAGTGAATATAGTCCTAACCAAACCAGTTTCTCTTTATAGTAAGTCCTCAGGACCAGAACAAGTATATCTCAGGACATTATGGGAAGCTAAGAAAGAAATTGGGGGGGGGGCCTCTAGCTGAGATATGTCTCTTACCTACAGCCACAGGTGAGGTGCTGGAGGACTGTAGGGTGGTTTATGTTGTGCCTTTATTTAGGAATGGCTTCAAGGAAAAGCCCAGGAACTGTAGACTGTTAAGTCTGACGTTGCTGGTTGGTAAGTTGTCGAAGGGGACTTTAGCAAGGCCTTCAAAAAAGGTTCCACGTGCTTGACTGGTTAGTAAAGTTAGGTCACACGGGATCCAGGGAGAGCTAGCCAACTGACTACAAAATCGGTTTGACGGTAGGAGACAGAGAGGGGTTAGAGGCTTGTTTTTCAGACTGGAGGCCTGTCACCAGCGGTGTTCCACAGGAATCGGTGCTGGGTCCACTGTTGTTTGTCATTGATAGAAATAATTTGGATGAGAAGGTACAAAGCCTGGTTAGTAAGTTTACAGATGCCACCAAAATTGATAGCATAATGGACAGTGAAGAAGGTTATCTAAGAGTACAATGGGACCTTGATCAGCTGGGTCAATGGGCCAAGGAGTAGCAGATGTTAGTTTAATTTAGATAAATGCAAGGTGTTGCATTTTGGTAAGACAAACCAAAGCATGACTTATACAGTTAATGGTAGGGCCCTGGAGAGTGTTGTCAAACAGAGACCTAGAGCTTCAGGTACATAGTTCATTGAAAGTGGCATAACAGATAGACAGGGTGGTGTAGAAGGCGCTTGGCGTGCTTGCCTTCATTGGTAAGAGCATCGAATATAGCAGTTGGGATGTCATGTTGTGGATGTACAGGACATTGGTGAGGCTCCTTTTGGAGCACCGTGTACCGTTCTGGTTGCCCTGTTATAGGAAGGATATTACTAAATTGCAAAGTGTTCAGAAAAGAGGTACCAGGATGTTGCTGGGATGAGAGGGTTTGTGTCCTAAGGAGAGGCTGGATAATCTGGCACATTTTTCCCTGGAGCCTAGCAGGTTGAGGGGTGACCTTATAGAAAACAGAACAATACATTATAGGAACAGGCTCTGCAGCCCTCCAAGCCTGCGCCGACACATTTTGCCCTTGCATACTAAAACTGTCTTTACTTAAAGGATCCATATCCCTTTATTCCCTTCCTTTTTATGTATTTATCCAGGTGCTGTTGTTTGTTTGCTCACTGAGCCGGTTGTTCTTTGGCGTGCAGACATTTCATTACCATTCTAGGCAACATCATCAGTGAGACCTCTAATCAAAGCGTTGGTGTTCTGCTCTGTTCCGAATTTATATGATCCTCTAGTGTGGTGGGTCTTGTCACTTCCGGTTCTGTTTTTCAGCTGTGGTCTGTAGATGGGGTCTATTTCTATGTGTTTGTTAATGGAGTCCCGTGTTGACAACCAGGCCAACAGAAATTCCCTTGCATCTCTGTTGTTTGCATGTCCCAGTATATTCACTTTGTCCCAGTCGAACTAATGGCCTTCATTGTCTGTGCATATTGAGTCAACTGAATATTGGTCGTGTCTTTTTACTCCCAGCTGGTGTTTGTGCATCCTGGTCATCAGTTTCCCCATTTCTCCAATATAATGTTTATTGCGCTCACTGCTTGGGATTCTGTATGTCACTTTACTCCTGTTTACTGTTGCTAAGTTGTCATTAATCTTTGATAGCATTTGATGCAGTGTTGATGTAAGTTTGTGTGCAATCATGATGCTATGCGGTCTAAGGAGAGTGGTTGTTATTTCTGATATATTTTCAGCGTAAGGTAGAGTTACCAGTGACTCCTGTTGTACCGTGTCTTCACACTGTTGTTTGTTTTATAGGCATCAGTGGAATGAAACTTCTTGGGTATCTGTTGTCGGTAAATACTTTGTGCAGGTGTCCATCTTCTATTCTCCGGAGTTCTAGGGTGTTGCAGCATGATATGGCTCATTTAAATCGTGCCTTAATACAGCTCTGTTTGTGTATGTTCTATTGTGTTTTTCTACTGAAGTACAGGATTTGGTCTGTGTGTGTGGCCTTCCTATACACTCGTGTCTGGAATTCGCCGTTAGTCTCTCTACCATTACATCCAAGAACGGGAGCTGTTTATTGTTTTCTTTCTCTCTAGTGAATTTTATGGATAAGATGCTGTTAACAAGTTGGTGGGTTTCTTCTACTTTTGTACATTTGATTATTACAAATGTGTCATCCATGTATCTTATCCACAGTTTTGGTTGGATTAGAGGAAGGGCTGTGTGTTCCAGTCTCTGCATCACTGCTTCTGCGATGAGACCTGAGATGTGTGATCCTATTGGTGTGCCATTGATCTGTTTGTATATTTGGCCATTGAGCGTGAACTGCGTTGTGAGGCATAAATCTAGTAGTTTCGGTAAGCTGACCTTGCTGATGTTGTTTCTGGTGTTCAGGGTCAGTGCTCCTGGTCCTTCTAGAAGTGTGCCTAGTGCCTGTTAACAGATGTAAATTGTGCTGTAACATTGATTTTTTGTGTCCCTGAGCTGTGTGAGAAATTCTTGGGCCAAATGGATTGAGTGTGGGGATCTGCTAATTAGGTATTTAAGTTTCCGCTGTAATTCCCTCGCTAGCTTGTGTGTAGGTGTGCCTGGTAAGGAGACTATTGATCTGAGTGGGATTCTAGATTTGTGCACGTTGGGGAGTCTGTAGAAGCGAGAGGGTGGGGATGTTTGAGCCATCTGGTTTCATTCTGATGTAGTCTGTGTTAGTGATCTCTCCTGCATACTTAAGTTTTTTGTGTGACTTGGTTATCCTGTTCTGCAGCTGTGGTGTGGGATCTGACGCCACCTATTGGTATGTGGATGTGCCTATGCTTTCTCGATATAGTCTGTTCTGTTCAGAACCACGGCCATTGATCCTTTGTCCGCTGGTAGGATTGTGATGTTTTAATCCTTCTTCAGTCCTGCTAGAGCCTTTCTCTCCAATGAAGGTGTCTGATTTGTGTTTATGGTTAGTGCTGGGACTGCTGTTTGTCTGATGGCCTGTTGAGTTTTGTCATTGAGTCCGCTGGTTTTCAGCATTGACTCTAGTGCTGCTAAGAACTCCTTTTACACAGCTGATACGTGGACTTAACTACAACCACAAGGACATGAGTAAAATGGAGTACCTTCCCCAGCCCCACCACTCCTCTCTTTATTTATTTCTGAGCTCCCTTCCCCCTCCCTCATTTCTGAAGAAGGGTCCCGACCAATTTTTCTACTCCTCTGATGCTGCCTGGCATATAATGCCTTTTACTGATTTTACACTTCTTGCTAATATCTTCCATTAACTTTGCATACTCTTCAACTGCTGTTGTTTCTGATTGAACTTGGACTTGACTCAGTGTCACAGGTTTGTGACACGGATTTTCACTGCAAAGGCTAATTCTTGACCCACTCATCTCTGGGCACATGAAACAATTGGATTTGGAGTGCGGGAATTGCTTTCTTTCCTGCTTTCACTAAACACCTCTGCAGGACTTCATAGGATTTTTAACATTTGATAAGTGAATTGTTGATATTACTTTAGGACAATCGGTTTCTTCCCTTTCCAATTCTTAGTGTGTGCTCGCATTAACTTTGTCTAACATTCTAATGAGAAACATCAGGTTTTGTTAAGAAGATGCATAATATTTTGACTGGGTAAAATGTAGATCCACTGACTTTACAAATATTTGAGCCTCCTTCTTGGGGAAATCACACTATGTAGGATATCTCTCACTGGAGACTACACGAGTACTTATAAAGTGGCTTACTCTAGTTATTTTACATAGAATTATGACTTCTTCTATATACCTCAAAGCATAACAATTACAAAGCCTACAGTAGTACATTCATATTCCTAAATTTTACATTGGTCCTCATACGTACTGAATCACCGTAATATTTCAACCCATCTGTCCCATGTATAGTTGAAGTATAGTTCTGCACAATTATCAGATTCCACAACTAAGACATCCATAACAGGACAGCCAAGATGAGAGAGGACAGTAAAGTCAAACGTGGAGAGCAAAAGAGATTTTCACATGCATCCATTGGTTCAGTAAATTTTAGTGTTATTCTTTACCACTTCAGGCCCACTTAAATCATGAAACACAAAACAGTTAGAGATTTGGTCTAAACTGGGAGCTGGTTGCAATTTTACACCATGTTGATAGGCTGATGTTTACAGATCTGTCACTGGTGCTGGAAGTAATTTGAGGTGATGAATTAAGAATGCTACACAAGATACATATTGCATAACACGAAAAAAAAGTTAGTTTCATGTATAATTTTCCATACAGGAGATTGTTGGCAACATGCTAAATAAATTTGGTCACAATACTCCTATTTTCAGTAATTGTTGAAGATTAACAATTCAGCTATTGCTCAAATCGTATAGTATTGGAAATCCTGGAAGGCAAGCAGCAAATAAAAAAATCAGCAAGTGTGATTTTCTGGGACATTAACATACATGTTGGCAGCCAGCTCAACAGCAGCATAGCTTGCTGCTTTTTGATAATTAGAAAACATCATTTAGGTGGAATGGAAACAAAATGTTTTCCTCCTTGTTGGATTCACAGCTCATCTACAAACACTATTCAATCAGTAGCTGTTTGATAAATCAGATATAAGCATCATTAGTTTTATTCAGTGACTCTCAAGTAAAGAACAAAGCATTTATTCATTCACCTCCTGTGACTTCAGATGATTAGTCAGTAGGTGTTCCCTGACCAACCTGTACTCTTCAATAAGTCGAGCAACTTCATGCTCATCTCGGGTAATTTTTATTCTCTCCAGAACTCCGAAGTACTTCAATAACCGCTGGATTCCATCAGAGTTGTCTTTATCTTTGTAGGTTTCTTCTACCTCCTTCCAACCTTTCATAATATACTTAGTGACCAAAGTGAGATCTAGAGAAAACACAGCTAAATAATTTAAAATATCATTCGCTGCCGTCAATGTGAGACAATGTCTTTGGATTCGTTTAAGATACATTTCTGTAATCCAGAATGAAACAGCCACGTATTCACTTTAAACTGTAACCACATATGTTTCTCAAACCACAATTTCTGCAACAATCAAGGAAAATTAAATTCAAAGCACTTCTAATTTTCCAGCTATATCTGGGCAAAACCAGATTTGTTGACTGTATCCCGACTATATCTCTAAGGTAACAGACTTAGCAAACTAAATCCTAACTTTAGATAAAACACCTTCACAATCTACATCACTGATTCATTAATCAAAGTCAAAAATATAGCGTTTTCAATTTTTGAATTTTATTGGCAGGCAACTGCAATTAGTTAATAAATAACAACTATTTAATTTTCAGATATGAAGAACAAACATAGGCAATGTATTTTAAAAGGTACAATTCTAAAGGGAGTACAAGATCAGAGAAACCTGGGGTGTTTTATGCACTAGTTTTGATGTGGTAGGGAAATGGAGGAACTGACTGAAAAGCTATGCATGATTCTAAGCTCAATGGAGGCAGAGTACAAAAATAAGAATGATATTATTAACCTTCCTAAAATACTGGCTCAGTCTCAAGTGGAGCATTAGACTCTATTTTGCCAGCACCAGGGTGCTGGGAACAAAGATGGGGGAGCCAGTAAAATACGAGGGAGATAAATCAGAAGGCAGACAGCCAATCTGCATAATTAAGGGACTAAGTGAAAGGTCATTTTAAAGAATTGCCAGCAGCAGAATGGAGACACTGCCAATTTCACGAAGGCCACCTCCCTGCAGCAATCCATGGTCATTGGAAGCTCCATGGTCTAAACTTGGAGCCACAGGAAAAGGCTCAATCACTGTGATCCCAACAATGAAGCTGGAGGGATATACCCATGAAGGAGTCAATACAGTGTGGAGCTGGAGGAACACAGCAGATCAGGCAGCATCAGAGGACTTTCCTGCTCCTCTGATGCTGCCTGACCTGCTGTCTTCCTCCAGCTCCACATTTTATTGACTGACGTCAGCATCTGCAGTTTTTGCTACTCCATGAATGACATGTCTACCACCCTTGGCCATTGAATTAATTTATCTTTTTTACTAAATTGCCAGAGGATTCTGACCTGCCTCAGCAATGCCCACCTCTCCAGGTGACACTGAGGTTTCAAAGCAGTCAACCCTCTGTTTGGGTAGTCAGTATACAGGTAGGATCTGGTCCTATTAGTGGAAGGGACAAGAACAATCAACACATTTATATTCAATGGCAAAAGAGGCAATGAAGAGAAAAACCTTTCGGCAGCAAGTGGTTAGGATTTCCAATGCACTGTCTGAGACAGGTGAGGGCAACTTTGTCCATGCTTTTTTCAAAGAGAAAAGGTTAAACACCTTGCAATAAGCCCTACAAGGCCCATGGAAATCGTTAATTAATCTCATGGAGCCGGTTGAGTACAAGTTCCTTTGGCAACAGGCAATGGACTGCCTAGCTGGAATCCGTCAATTGATCCCTTCATAAAGCAGACTCAAAGGCCCTCGTGTAGCATAGAGGTAGAATCCCTACCCGTGAACCAGGAGGCCCCAGGTTCAAGACCCATCTGCTCCAGAGGTCTGTAATAACATCTCTGAACAGATTGATTAGGAAAAATAGGTTAAATTTTAAAAATTTACTCAAGTTAGCCCTTTCCTGCTCTCCCAAGCCCCTCCTTCATTATTAATGGTTTGGATTGCACATGATGGGCTTTGCTTATAAATATTCAATTAGCTACACAAGTGATTTAATGGCGGCATCGATAGCTAAAAACAAAACAAAAGATCAGTGATTTGGTGGTGGGAAAGCAGTTCAGTTGTGTGTGAGAGCACCTCTGGATACTTAAAAAAGAAGCAGACCCGTATAAGGCACTTGTGGTGCTTGGTAGTGTCCCTACCTCTGAGCTAGGAGGCCCTGGTTCAAGAATCACCTGCTCCAGAGGTGTGTAATAAACATCTCTGAACTTACTAATTAGAAAATATCAAAATAAAGCAGGCCCAGTTAAAAAAGCAGACCCAGCTCCATATAATTCCATTTTGATTTAGCCCCTTCCCGCTTTTCCTGCCTCCCTCTTACTTTTTGATGGCTAGCATTGCCCTTCATTGGCTTTGCATGTAAATATCCAATTAGCTACACAGGTGATTTACTGGTGACAGTTAATAGATGAAAAAAAATGTCATGGTGATTTGATGATGGAAAAAAATACATTCAGTTGTGTGCAAGAGTATTTCTGAATATATAAAATGAGAAAAAGCAATCCCAGAGGCCCCTTGTGAAGTGGCCATGTCCCCACCCATGAAGAGGGAAGCCTGGGTTTATTCCATCTGCTCCTGAGGTGTGGAATAATGATATCTCTGAACAGGTTAATTTAAACAAAATAAAGCAGACCCAGGGATAAGTCTGCAGAACCGTCTGTCCTGGGCTGGGACTAACCTATGTGCATCATTAGTAGTGGCTCTAGTTTGGTGTTCAATGATAAACAATGTTCCTTTCCACTGGAATTCCTGAGTTATTACACATGTGAAGTGAAAAAAATTCCAGAGTTACAAGGAAAAGCTGGGGAATTGGGACTAACTGAATAGCTCTTACAGAGTGTCCATTCAGACATAATGGATTAAATGGCCTCTTTCTGAGTTACCATTCTACAAACACCAGGTACATGTGCAATTCCTTTCTTTGCCCGCCAATATATCCAAATTAAGACCACACCCACTCATTCTTAAATCAGTTCGAAGGCATAATCCAGCTCAGAGTCCTTCACAGAACTGCACCAAGTGCACTCACGCAACTCAGTCAGGAGACTGCTCCCCAGGCCCTTTCTTTCTGCATCAAAAAACACTCACACCCAAATATTCTGGGCATCTTTGTACAAGAAAGTGTATTGGGAAAGCCAGACTAACATACAACTTAAACTTACATTTTCTAGTCAAGAATTAAAAGAGAGAAATAGCAAGCATTATACAATCAAGCAGAGGCAACAGATTTTACGAAAGGGATATTGCATTTGACAAATTATTGGAGGTTTTTATTATTTTTATTATTTGAAGTTGTAGCAAGCAGGGTGGATAAAAAGTACCAGTAAATTAAGTGTATTTGTATTTACAAACGGTATTGAATAAGATCTCACAAATAGGGTTACTACACAAGATCAGAGTTCATATTGTTGGAATAATTTATTAGCATGAATAAGGAATTGTGTAAGTAATAGTAAAGATATTTGAAATAAATGTGTCATTTTCAGTTGGCAAATTGTAATGAGTGGAGAGCCACAGGGTGCTGGAGTCTCAACTATTTACAGCCTACATTATTGACATGAGTGAATGGATAAAGTGTATTTTTTAAAATTTATTCATTTGTGGGATGTGTGCATCACTGGCTGGCCAGCATTTATTGCCTGTCCCGAGTTGCCCTTGAGAAGGTGGTGGCGAGCTGTCTTCTTCAACCGCTGCAGTCAACCTGCAGATTTGCAGATTAAGTAAAGATAAGTAGGAAAATAAGTTTTGAGGAAGACACAAAGAGTCAGCAAAGGGCTCCAAGGTGGATTTAATAAATGGATAAAAATTTGATTGATGGAGTATAACAAGAGAAAATGGGAGGTTATCCACTTTGGAGCGAGGAATAAAAGGGTGGAATGTTATGTAAATAGCAAAGACTACCAAATGCTGTAACATGGAAGAATCTCATATGAATCATAAAACATTAGCATACGGGTAAAGCAAGTAATTAGATAGAAAATTCCCCTTTCTCAAATGGTTTTTAAAAAAAAGTTATCCCGAACAGATATACATGTACGTACATGGCATGTGTTGTCAATATGATAGTATAAACAGGTAAAACAGAATTTACAGGATTATTATTTTAAACTTTAATGTAACGATTTGCAGGTTTGACAGCTTATCCCAATCTGGTGATTGTATACTTGTCTTGAGAAGTGCACATTATTTTCTGTTGCACATGGTTGACAAATTGGTGGCTTTGCTGTTGGTGGCTATCCATCAACATCACCGCATAATCCGCATAATTTCCTTCCTCATTTTTATTTGCACATGATTGGTGTGTGTTACTCCAATCTGAGCAGCATCTATTTCTTTGCAACGTAGCACTGTGATCAGTAATGACTTTGTATGATCTGGGTCGACCTTTATGACAATGATACTGGGTACAAAATCAGGGAAGTTTTGTTATCACCAACAGATCATTGGTGAGACCACACCTAGGTCACTGTGTGTAGATTTGTTCTCCTTATCCAAGATAGGATTTACTTGCATTAGAGGCATTTCAGAAAAGGTTCTTTAGATTGTTTATCCAACTGCTCTTCTCTCTCTTCGGGCTCTATCCTATCGTTTACTCCCTACCCTATCCCCCTTCCTATTTTCTGCATATAAACCGACGTTTTCCCAGTTACCATCAGTTCTGAGGAAGGGTCAGCGGACCCGAAACATTAACTCTGGGTTTTTCTTCACAGATGCTGCCAGACCTGATGAGCTTTTCCAGCAACTTCTGTTTTTGTTCCTTTCTTTCAATTTTTTTCCCTCTAGATTGTCTGCTGGGGTGAAAGTGCCATATATTGAAGATAAGTTGAGTGGGTTGGGTAAAACAGATTTGGACAGTAGGTTGATACTAGGTATGGAGGGACTGTCTTACAAGGAGAGGTTGAGTACGGTGGACCTGTATTCATCAGAATTTAGAAGAACGAGAAGTAATCTTAATGAAACATACAAGATTTTTAGAGGACTTGACAAGGTAAATGCAGAAAGCTTGTTCACTCTTGTGGGAGAGTCTAGAACCAAAGGCCATAATGTGAGAATAAGGGGTTGCATATTTAAACAGAGATGGGAAGGAAGTTCTTCTCTCAGAGGGTAGGGAATCTGAGGAATTCTTCACTGCAGAGAGCTGTCAAGGTTGGGTCATTAAGTATATTCAAGGCTCAGTTAGGCAGACTGTTGACCCACAAGAGAATCAAAGATTATTGGGTGCAGGCAGGAAAGTGATGTTGAGGCCACAATCAGATCAGCTATGATCTAACTGAATGGCACAGGAGCTTGAAGGGAAAATAGCCTGGTTGTCATGTTCTTATATGAATGATACAGGTTCAAAAGTGCAGTTTTGACTCCTTCAAGGGGAGGAATGTGAATCTGACTGATTCAACCAACAATTATTGCAAAGACTGCATGTTTTTGATTTTAATGCTACCCTTAATTATAGACTGAACGGGAAAAGAACCTGTTTTGAAATCAAGAATTGGGAACGGGATTGCTGCACCTTTTCAAGGCAAGCTGCCAACCCTTACTGTCAGTGCTATTTAAACTGTTGTTTGTTCATCCAGTATGGGAGGTTTACTTGCAGATGAACTAGCAGCAGGGAGTGCACACAAGGTGCGATTCAGCAAGGAACACGTAGCCGATTGGTCTGTGTAGCAACAACAATGTGATTGGTTTACAGGTAAATGAATAACTTGTCATGTGAAAAGGATAGCCAAAAGCGTTCGGGCCTTAGAAGGGGAGGTTTTGTCCTTCTCTCTGTAGTAAAAATGACCTAAAGCCTGAAAAAAGCCAGTTTATTTTCCATCAATAATTGCTGTTTGAACTGTTGCTTTTAACCAACAAGTTAGATACTTCATACTTTGTAAACCAGCACTTTTTGCAAGGAAGTGGAAAATAGCTGGAGAGATTGACTAAAAGCAAGTCCTGACAAGGAAAAGGATCATTTCAACAAACCCTATGGACACAGGCCACTGAACAACCTTTCCTTCCGCCCAATGTTAGGGGTGCTCATGTGGATGTTTGTGTGTATGCGACCTTTATAAGGACCTTACAGTTTTACCCAGTAGTTATGTGTCAGTAGATCATAGTTGTTTACCTGACACTAGAATCTATTCAAATAGTAATTCTTGTTAAAGTACAAAAAACTGGTCCACCTTTCTGTAAACCTGGATCTTAAAAGGCAGGTAAAATAGGGAGTTTTGCATACTTTGAAGAAATCTTTAACTTTCACAACCACTTCAGGAATAGCATGGCATAATTTCCAGTATGCTAGCCCAATGAAGCATGACAATATAGTCAGGCGTAGTTGCTCAGTTCAACAGAAATTTAAAGGCAAAGTACAAAAACCACCTAGTTCTGTTAAAAACTATTAAATTTGCTCATTTGGTAACTTATTAGTGATACCATGAATTTATTACAAAGAATATCCAAATAACAACAAGCTTTATGGTTACAGTTAATTTATTTTGAGAATTTTTTATTCACTAGCTTTATTTCTACACTTCATTGCTTTTGGACACAATCTAATTGCCATATAAAATGCACTATATTTTTAAAAAAGCAGGAAAAGTCAATTAGTAAACAGGGACACAAGATTCAAGCAGATGGAGTTTGTGTCTACAGTCTTTTGTGTATTCATTCTCACTTGCCAGGTAAGAACATAATCACTTAACTCTTATAGAAATGAGTATCAGGAATGGATATCACTGCAATTCACATGTCTCTGATTTTGCTGATCTGGCTATGATTCCAAAAGTAAAGAAAATTTAAACTATAAGAGAGTCAATCATCATGCACAATTTGAGAAACTGCAGAGAGCAGTAGACAAAAAATCTTAATGACACATTACTTATTCAATCAATAAATGTTTGAAACACAAAATTAAAATTAAGGAAAGAGAACATTATACATAAATTCATAAATTTAGTGGAAACTGTTGAAAGAGAAAAATAATTTATAAAGAATTGTTGATGATCAAAGCAAGATGAATTGAAAAAAAAACAATTTAAGCAAAAATGGTACTTCATGATATTTACATTAACATTTTTTCTAAAAAATCAGTCATAGGCAGAGGGGATGGGACATTGAACTTGACAACATCTGATCATATTAGCACTGATAAGATCACAAAACTTGGCCTGATCCTAACTTGCAAGCACGTACTTTCAATATGATAATCTAAATATCGTGGCATGCAGTAGGTAATTAAGAACCACTGACAGAATGAACTCACGTTATATTGCAATATTTTAAACAAAAGTAATTAATTTGGTGAAAATTTAAATCATATTCACCCCAAGTGTCCTGGATACCCAGAGGGTGATGGTATTGCCAAGTGTTACGTGAGAAAGGCCAAAATTCAATATCCAGTCTGTACCATGTTAACTGATCTAAGTTAAGGCAGCATTTTGAGCAGTTGACCACAAGTAACTGACAGAAATCATAGAATCAACAGTTCGTAGGTACCAAGGAATTGCATCTCAGTAAGAACCTACAGCTCTAGATGGGTGGTGAAAGAGATTAAAAAAAAAAATCAGCGCTCCATAATATTATTACTCACCTTCATTAGCTGGCTTCAAATGTGACAACCGAAACAAGTCTTTATGTGACCATCCTGCTCTCCGCTTATACTTCGTAACTGCCATAGCGATAGTCATCCCATCTTTACTGTTGTACCAGTTTGCCACTGCTTTCCTCAGGGCTCTTCCCCATATACCACATTTCATCCCTCCACTGAGATCCTTTCTAAACTGAATATACGTGAATAGATGGGTTGGAATACGACAGATTTCAGCCAGAACTTTGTATGCAGCTTGTTTTGTGGAAGCATCTGAGCACTGTGTGCAAACAGCCAAAGCAAACAAAATAGGTTCTTGCATGACTGTTTTGCCTTCGTTACCAAAAGTCTTTATTTCATGGACAACCTCAGTCCCTTTACCTTCTTCTATTAATCTCATTATGGCCTGAGCGTTTTCTTTCTTAAGTTTTTCCTCACTGCTGTAGTACGTCCCACCCTCAGAACCAAAACAGAGAAATCGGCGCAGACGGGTCACGTCGGTCACTTGCCACATGGAACTACTTTCAGACTTTGCTACATGCTGTTCATTCAATAGCTCTGTCTGGTGTACTTCAGATTCTGACGACATTTTAACAGTTTTGAGTCCATCTGTGATACACTATGGAACAAAAACAATTAAAATATTTGATGAATACCAAAGATTAATCTTTACAAAAGACAGACGTTTTTATTGCTGTACCTAGCAATAATGATTTTAAAGACAGAAATAAGTAATCAACCTCACTGGTCAATTCTAGTGTTTAAATCCTACATATACCTTGTCCCACCCAACCACCTAAACTAATCAGTACATCTCTGTATACTGTTCTACTTCATGTACTTGTTATTTTTCTTTATTCTTTGATGAGATTTGGGTGTCACCAGCATTGTCAATCCTTGTTACCTATCCCCAATTGTCCTTGGCTTGTTGGGCCATTTCAGAGGACAATTAAGAATCAACCACATTGCTGCAGCTTAGTAGTCACATGTAGGTCAGACCAGGTAAGGTTGATAACTTTGAGCTTAGTGCATCAGGTGGACTTTACAACAATTGATGCAACATTCAAGGTCATCATTACTGAGGCTAGCTTTCAATTTCAGATTGAACAGATGCCCTGTTAGAAATTAAATCATTGTCCAGAGAACCTCAAAATGCTAGAGATCGGAAATAAAAACAGGTAATACCAGAAGAACTCAGCAGATATGACAGAGGAGAAACCGAGTTTTAATGTCGCAAGTCCAGTATGACTATTCCAAATATATTTGGTTCTGAACAAGTCACGTTGGACATGAACTATCAGCTTAGATCACATGGGATTCAGGCAGAGCTTGCCAATTCGATATAAAATTGGCTTAATGGTAGGAGACAGAGGGTGGTAATGGATGGCTGTTTTTCGGACTGGAGGACTGTAACCAGCAGGGTTCCACAGGGATTTGTGCAGAGTCCACTGTTGTTTTCATTTATATAAATGATTTGGATGAGAATATAGGAAGCGTGATTAGTAAGTCTGCAGATGACACGAAAATTGGTGACAATGCAGACAGTGAAGAAAGTTATCTAAGATTTCAAAGGGATCTTGATCAATTTGGCCAATGGGCCAAGTTGTAAATAGAGTTTAATTTGGATTAATCTAAGGTCTTGCATTTTGATGAGACAAAGAAGAGCAGGACTTAGACAGTTAATGGTAGGGTCTTGAGGAGTACTGTCAAACAGAGAGACTGAGGGGTTCAGGTACAAGGTTCCTTGAAAGTGGCATCACAGGTAAACTGCGTGGTAAAGAAGGTTTTTGGTATACTTGCCTTTATTGCACAGACCATTGAGAATAGGAGTCGGGACATCAATGAGGCCACTTTTGGAGTGCTGTGTACAATTCTGATCGCCCTGCTATTAGGAGGATATTGTTAAATTGGAGATGGTACAGAAAAGATTTACAAGGATACTACCTGGACTGGACTGGAGGATAAGAGTTAATAAGGAGAGGCTGGTTGGATTGGGATTTTTTTCACCGGAGCATAGGAGGTTGAGGGGAGACCTTATTGACGTTCATAAAATCACAAAGGGCATAGTTAAGGTGAATAGCAAAGGTCTTTTCCCCAATGTGGGGAGTTCAAAACTAGAGGGCATGAATTTAAGGCGAGAGGAGAAAGATTTAAAAGGGATCCGAGAGGCAATTATTTTCTACAGAGGGTGGTTCATATGTGGAATAAGCTGCCAGAGGAAGTGTAGCTGCAGCTACAGTTACAACATTTAAAGGATATTTGGACAGGTGCATGAATAGGAAAGGTTTAGAGGGAAATGGACCAAATGCATGCAAATTGGACTAGTTTAGTTTGGGAAACTTTGTCAGCATGAATGAGTTGGACTGAAGGATCTGTTTCTGTGCTGTATGACTCTATTGATCTGTTTCTCCTGGCGCAGACACTGCCAGACCTGCCGTGTTTCTTGTACTTGCTGTTTTTATTCCTCAGAGCTTCTGGGATTACTAGCCTAGTGATATCTTCACATGTTACCACCTTTCCCCTCTAAAGCATATGCCATTTTCCTTAATTACAGCATGCAAGATTTTATGTAAACCATTATTTGATTATTTGGCCATTTCACATTTGAGAACTAAAAATACATGAAGGAGGAATGAAAATAGCCTATGTTAAAATTACTTGGTAAAAAATTGCTATATTCCTGAAAAACTGTGATAGGTTTCGAAAACATAAAGGGAGTTTGATTCAGGGTATATATATGTGGGTTTCATTTGTTTCTTTTAATTATTGCAAAAGTATTCATCAAGGTAAAAAATAACATATAGAGACAACGACAAAATCAAATCCTGAAATATGGAGGAATCTCAGGGAAAACATACTATATTTGTATTGTGGTTATCCTTCTCAAATCATATCCGTGAAGTGCCAAGCACATTCAGAAGGATAGAACTACAATGTCAAATGTGCTTACCCAACACTACACAGTGTTCAAACCTAAAGGAGCTCTAACCACTGAGCAATTTGTTTTAATTCTGAGAAGATCTGCCTTCTCATAATATTAAAGATTGTCCCATGCATCATTTTGAGATATTCCAGGATGTACAATGGTCGGCTGCATCCCATGCAAGATCAGATCAATGAGCACTGGCTATTGGATGTTGTCTCATTCTGCTTCTGATTGATAAATTGGTGGTTTGGATCAGGACCAGAATCTGGCTTAATTAGCTATTTTTACGTTGATAGATCCCCAAACCTAGTGCAAAGATAACAGCATAAATGTTATTTTTTATCCTTGTGGGAGTCAAAAATATATAAAGACCAGAAATTATGCATAAGCATATGTATTACACAATATAATTCCAACCAGGAAAAAAAATATGTAGTACACTTCTTTTGAGTGCTCTGCTTAAAGACAGGTTCAACCCACAACAACACGGTCTCCATCATAGGCAAGGTGAGGAGGCAGGTCCTGAATCCACCCAGGACAAAATTGGGATTGGTGCTTGGTCTCTGTTGGCATTAATACGATCCATTCCAGCCATTTGGCAAATCACCTGACCACGAGTTCCAGTTATTATGGTGACATATACTTTTACCTACAAGCTGTAGCCTGGAGCTCTGCATAATGATGGTAGAGACTTCAGTTTAATTCCATCACATGTATACGTAGGAATATCTTACTTACTGCCAGCCATAGGCATGTTGAAATTATTTACAAGTGAATATTCAACTAGATTAGCTGTATTATGAACATACCTTTCCATTACTAAACTAATTAAAAACATAGAAAAGAATTTCCCTCACCACATCTCTTCATGCGATAAGTTTGCAACAATCTCATCTGAATCAAAAAGACCATGGGATCAATTTGCACCACCATACCAGAGTGCATATTCTATTTTTGATTAACAATGCAATGCAAAGGCAATGCTGGATTATGAAGGATCCAATTCTCTTGAAAAGGTATTAATTAACCCTATTGGCAGGTTCTGGTGCTTCAAGTATACATTAGAATTCCATCCCTAATGACATCGTGGATTCACCTACAGCACATGGACTGCAACAGTTCAAGGAGGCAGCTCCCCGCCATCTTTTCAAAGGCAACTAGGGATGGGCAATAAATGCTGGTCCAGCCAGTGACACCCACATCCCACAAGTGAAAAAAAAAGTTAGGCTCTGGTCCACATCAAATTCAGTCTGCACCACTAAAAAGATTTATTTTGATTTACTTGTTAATCCACTTCAAAGGAACTTGACATAGCCTCAAATAGAGGTCTATCTTAAATCAGGCTTATGGAGAAGGAAGGAAGTAGTGTTTAAAAATATCTGTAATGGATTAGATTTTTTTTTAGTTACCCTTTTCCAATAAAATGTAATTCTGTTTAACTGCAACAATAACTAAATAAGATACTCAAGAATAACAGATTATCTTGTTTTGTCACTTCATTATTATGTGAAATATCTAAGTGAATACCTAGAAAAACAATAAAGACTAATTATTTACATGATTTCCACAGAATACCAAAATTGTTTAACAATTACGTCTTTATGGGGATTCCCTGTTTCTAAGCATTGGCCAAAACATCTCTCATGCCCATCGTAGTCACTGTCACTGTTTCTGTACTGCAACCATATTACCAGCTATTTATTTCTTGTCGGCTCTATAATTGAGGCTAAATATACAGTTGATTCATTGACCAAAGAAGAACACTTTCTCCCTGGGAGGGGGGAATGATGAGTCCGAGAAGATATCAAAATGAAGTTCTGTATCTTTGTTTCTAATTCATCCTCAAGCTTGAAAATTGCTAAAATTGGTAGCAGAGAAAGTTTCCAGTCTTCACCTTTTAAGGAACGAAAGATTTTCTTTGAGACAGAGGATTGTATTTTGAAAAGGTTGTAGCTGGGATTACCTTCAAGAAGATTTTTATGAGAGTTGATGTTAGTCATTCTTCTCAAAAATAAGTGAAGTGTCAAGCTATAAAATGATTTTCCACTGATGTTCTGTGAAGTTGAATCTTATGACCAACAGAAAAATCAGGAGAATATGTGGCCATTCATTACATACTCACCAAGGGAAAAGCTAGGCACTGTTGCTTCCTATTAGTAGCAGAATCAGGTGCAAAGTATTTTTGGAACTAGAGGCTCAGCGAGTGGAAACAAAGGCTCAGAAATTCTGATAAAATCAATGGAAAACATTTATAAAAAGATGATCCATTAAATGTATTGAGACATGGCCAAACTTTGATAACTTAACAAAGTAGGGTGGTGATTTCAAAGAAGAATAAATAATAGAACTCAAACTGTATGCAAGATTACAAATTCCATTTGGAGATTCCTAACTCAGTGCTTGTCTCTAAATTGTTGGATTGTGCAAAGGATTGTGCAGAGACATGGATAACCTCTTGGTGGTAACTACAGCTAGATTCTTAGAAAGGCACATGCATTTGGAATGGATGTCTGAAGATTTGAAAACAAACTCCTATGAAAATAGGGCAATCAGCAGTAACACAAAAGATGGAAGATCCAATGTTAGCAACGTTTGGAGACTATACAGATATTGGGTACATGAAAGAACAATCAAACAAGAGGAGTGAAAATTGAGACAACTTCTGGCAATTTTTGACAGATGACAGGAATTGCATAACTATAACAGAACAATGAACCTCAGGAATACCTGGGGAAATGCCAACACAATATCATCGTGCAATGAATTATCCAGAACAGAATAATAATGTTGATAAGAGGACAAAGTGACATAAGACAGTGAAGATCCGGATGGAGAAGATAATAATACTGATCAGTCTTAGGGTTATGTACTGCTCACAAGATGCTTTAGCCCAGTAATGAGTGTTCTAGTTGCGAATTTACTCAATGCACTATGTTGGACAGGAGGTGGGCATCCACATTATGTCGAGTTAAAAGATGTCTGGATAAATAGTAAGGACAGGAGTATGAAAGTTCCACTCACTTCAAGTTTGGGAAAATCAACACATTAAAGTCCGTGAAGAGCAATGATTCCATTTTATTACCACAGATTTAGTATCCAGCCACGGGCATTTATTGTGGAGCAAGTAATCTACAAAAAGCATTCAAATAAAACTGGATGTGGATCAACAGTTTATCCAATCCAATTATTATAGTATCACTTTAACAAGACCTAAAATGTTTAATTAAAACATTTAAAAAATGTCGATGCCATTGGAGAACAGGAGTTTGAAGGAAAAAAAAGTCGTTATATTTCAACCAAATCAACAGTTTGCTTATTCATCACAAGTTAAAAATCCAACTAAAGGACACAGGAGAAATGGATGAGACACCAATGCTGCACATGCAAACATGGGACAATTACAAGGAACAAGCAATAGCTGATAATAAACTAATTAAATACAGACAGTTAAGTGTAGAATAAGGCTATTTAGCACAAATCACAACTACTGATGGTCACATAAAAGTTACATATATGCCAGAAGGGGACAGTGAAATGAGGGATATCACCACTAAATTCAAAAGTTGGTTAAACATGCAAAATAAGGTACAGAAGGTAAAAATGTGGAAGGTCAGAAAATACACTGAGATTTCCATAAGTACAGCCCTAGAGTAAAAAAATTCATGGACTAATGACGAATTCTCTAATCACAGGAGGGAATCTTGCAGCATTCATCTAAAAAGAGATAGGAGGATCAAGTAGAGGTCATAGTTTGATATGAACAAGGACCATAAAACAGAATAGGAATGCTAGGAACATCTATAATAGAGAAGTTTCAGTCGCTACTAACAAATTAATAGATAAATTGATCAAGGACGCAAAACAAAGAGTTGGATATTTAGAAAGAATTTAGTACATGTTCTGAAGTACCAGATGGGAAACAGCTGGGCTTATCACACATATGATAAAAACAGAAAAAGTGTTTCTTGATGGGGCTCAAGTCAGATTAGTGGCTTGGTGTTCTGAAGAAACAATTGATCATAAGCATGTTACGACGTATTCCTCAACTGCAGGAAAAATGATCTTTGAAGATTTTCTTTGCACTTTCAGAAACACATTCCTGGAAATGTAAGCTAATCTAAAAGTTGCATTTTTGCTTTATACAAGTTCCAAAAATAAGCATTTTAACCATCAAAAGCAGAGGGAAAATTAAACAACTGTTAATGAGTTGAATGATGCAACAAGGATCTGGTATTTCTGAGTTAGGTCCATCTTGCTAAAGGTAGATTGTGACATCTGCTTTCAGCTAAGTACGATGATCTACTGGTATCAAAAAGGCAACTAGCAGGTTTATGATCACATAGATGATTTTATGTGGGGATTTTCATGTTCTTTGGAATACAAGCAATGAATGAAAGGGAAAGGGAATTTAATATTGGATGTCAGATCTAAGAGGCCCTGAAATAGATATCACACAGAATAAACTGGGAATGACCTTTGGCTCAGCAGTCTTTCCTAGAAAGCATTAATTGTATCCCAATAGATCAGGCCTGGCTCTCACTAAAAGATACCTGGCATTCAGGGAAAAAACAGACCAGTTAAGGAGCTGAACTGTTAAAGTGGTTGCATACTCAGACTAGACTTGATGCCAGTTATGATGAAATATTTTCCTCTCCTAAAGGACATTTGTGAATCAGATGGGTTTTTACAACAATCAACAGTAGTTAAATGGTCACCATATGCTGGGTTTATGTATCCAGTATTTTGTTTTATTAAATTCAAATTTTACCATCAGCTACGGTGGGATTCCAACCCATGTCTTCAGAACATTAGCCTTGGGCTCTGAATTACTAGTTAAGTGACATTACTATGTCACAGCTTTCCTGAAGGAAACCCTGTACAAGGGCAATCTGAGAAAAGTTTATCCATAGGATGTTTTGTGGACAACAATTCTCTTTAGGCAATGTTCATTCAATAAAAGCACACTCAGAAAATTTTGAGGATTGACCTTTTAAGTACAAAAGAAGTGCTGGAAAGAAAAGAGATTTAAAATAAATTGTGTTGATAGAAGTTGTAAGTTGTCAGATTGTTTTACAAAATGTGCATGTTCCAATAAACTATTTTTTACCTTGAAAAGAGATTTCAGGTGTTACGAGGAGTTGCAAGAATATGAAAATCAATTTCTGCTCATTTTCATACTCATTTAATTTTGTAATTAAAAATGTTGCGTGAATATGGAAGGATGATTCCATTATAACACTACATACAGAAGTGTTTTATTTAAAGAAAAAGGAACTGTTAATATCAAGTAGCTAAAGTTAGTAGGGAAATGGGTGAGGGTGTTAATTGATTGATTAATTGTCTTGAGCTATGTACATATATATAGGGTAATAGCTGGGCCTGGAAAAAAGGAGAACTGTGACACTGAAAGTATGTTAAATAAAATTCTCTGACAAGGTGACATTCTGCCTCTGTTTCTAATTCAACCTTGGATCCTGTTAACATAGATTTTCTATGAAATTGTAAACAGTTTTCCTCCTTAGGTGTATGCAAAAGATCCCTCTGGCATTATTTCAAACAAAGAGCAAAATAGTTATTCCCACTGTATTAGCAATATCTGTCCCTCAATCGACAAGACCAAAATAAATTATCTAGTCATTAGCACATTGCTTGTTGTGGGAATTTGCTATATGTAATTAATTACTGCATTTCCTACATTATAGCAGTGACTACACATCAAAATCATTTTTGACTGTTCAGCACTTTGAGACATCCAGTGGTCACGAAAAATATTATCTAATTGCACGTTTCCAGAAGGTCTGGGTTTAAGTTTGCTTTCCCAGATATTTGTCATAAGGTGTCTGAACAGGTTTGTTAAAAATATCTATAATTGCAAGTTATTCTTTTGTGTACTTGAGAATATTTGTATTCAATACAGTTGCATTAAGTTGTTGATTTCATGTGCACAATACACTTTTCATTAAAAAAGGCACCATTAAAGATTTGTATTACCATAATACAAAACCTAAACACACCAAGAATGCTTTTCAAATGGTGGTGTAAAATTACATTTAAAAATCAACAGTAAAAATTTGCCCCATGTCAATCCTGACAAGTTTAAAAAAATACAACTAAACTATTTGGAAGGTTAGAGTGAGAATTAAAATCAGGCTTCTTCTGTGTGCTGGTTTCAACATTTTCCATTCAATACATGAGAAACAAAAGTATTACCCCCGGACAGCTTGCATTTAAAACACATACTAATCTGCCAGAACCTTCGGCAAAACAAGTATCCTGATCATTCCTGGATATCTCATCGCTGAAAAACATTTCAAACTCAGTAGCAGCGTCTGTATTAAGCTCTAAAAGCAAGTGGAACTATTTTTACAGACGTAAGTGTCCTTAGAACTAATACAAAATATTTCTATCACGTACCGCAAGAATTCAGAACATGACAGCCCATGAACTAAACGATTCTACATATGACAAGTTCACTCTTTTAGCCAATTACTACGTTCGTTCCAAAGACACTGGGATTCAAAATATGATGCTTTCAGACCATTTTTGTACTATTTCACACCAAGCACTTGACTGTTCAATGAAGATATTTGGGACTTCCTAGTACCTTAGGGTTTGGATTTCAACAACGTCGTAATTAATGAAAAGGAGGACAACTTGATAACAATTTTGACGCGCCTGAAGTCGGCAGATCTGTGGATATCACATCCTAAATGGTCCAAATTTCTGATCGCTAGCGTTGGGGGGTGACGGGGGTGCTGGGACTGGGAGTGTTGGATTTAAAAGATAACCAGACGCATGTCTCTGAAAGGCAGGGAGCGGTTGCTGAGGCTTCTTTACCATAACAAAAGTTTCAAGGCTCAAGTGCCACGATTAGCGTCCACAACGAATATATCATACTACAGGGCGCCTGTATGAAAGGCGATAGGAAATGTGAACATCCTTCAGCCTCTAGGTCATTAGAGGCCTGCCTTATCCCAGTCAGCAGTGAATGAATCACGACAACCGCTTTCGGTTCGCTGGTCCTGGGCGGGGGCACTTTAAATCCCTGGTAAGCGGCGAGACCAAATATTAACCAGTGACATCGGAAAATAAAAGAGCGAGATTACCTCCATGCCGCGATCCCTACCGTTGGAATGTGTCAGATAACAGCATACACTCAGCGCCCGGTGTATCCCTACCACCCTCTGCCTGTATTTTTCTCTCTCTCTCCCCTCTCCCTCACTCCCACTACCACTCGTTACCACAGCAACATCCGGGCTTCCACCCGCGCTGACGTCACTGCCAGCCAATCAGATCCTCCGGGCGCAGCGCCACCAGCGGCCGCAGCGAGAACTGACTCCATTATCCACTCCATCCTTGGCCCCACAGGTCACACACAGCTCGGATTCACAGTGGCCACAAGGAACAATGGGCCATTTTCCCCTTTCCCACCACCACCTTACAGTCTTATTATCAGAAGGACTTTACTTTCTTCTCAACCACCTCAGTCCTGGATTCTGAAAGAATCAGCAACTCCCCAAGTGCCTCAGTCATGACCCAACCAAGAAGAGTCATTATACAGGTCCAGGATGGGTTTGGAAATGAGGGAGGGATTTTTCTGGCTCACAAACAAAAACAGGAGTTTCTGGAAAAACTCAGCAGATCTAGCAGCATCTGTGGAGAGAAATCCAAGTTAACGTTTTGGGTCCAGTGACCCTTCCTCGGAATTGTGGCTGCCTGCCTTTCTCTTACTACGTTGGCTGTGTCTCAATCATCTTGGAGAGGGAGCAAGTGATATCCACCGATGACCATGATGCCTCCAAACTGCTAAGCTCCATCTGAGAGGTCAAGGTATGAAAAGTTTCCCTGACTCCAACAACAATATTGATCGTTAATTTACTGTTAACTGTACTTTAAACATTTTCGTTTAATTGAACCCTTTCCTTTTCCTACTTGTTCTCTTAAAATAATATTTCCATTTATTTTTGTTTGGTGATGATTGACCTCCAACAACCATGATCATCTTTCTGTATAGCTCTAAAGGCCCTTATTGCTTTTGCACCAGCTATAACTTATTTCAGATTTTATAGTACTGATTTGTGCATATTCAGTTAAATGCAATTTCCTTATTCTCACCACTCCTATGGCATTAAGCCCTTGTTTTCAATGTCTGGTGTTGACATTTGGAACCAAATGGTTCTGATAGAATCGAACGGAATATTGACAAGGAAGTTGTCAGTAATTTGTCATTACATTATAGTAGAATACTTTTTTCATTACTATACTGGAGGCTGAAGCCTTTATTACTACCACACAAATATGGTCAGTGTATAGCCTCCACCTTTGTCTAATACATGTGTTTGCTTTTTAATTTTACATGGTGTGAACCAAATAGGCTGAATATTTGTACCTATGATGTTGATAAATATTATGTACATGTGTAATTGCAAGTCTGCTGGAAGCATAGAGAAGCAGGGTCTTTCCTACATAAGAATAAATCCTATCCCTAAATGATCCAAGTCTACATTTCTTCCTTTTACAATGCCAACTCTGAAAAGTGAAAATTCTTTTCTTCTGCCTAATGATAAATCTGAAAACATTAATCTTCAATTCTGGCTCTGAATCAAATTAGCCACTACTCTATGACATCAGCTGCTTTAGACTGGCTTCTCTGCTTTGGCACAGCCCACAATGCAATGGAATAAAAACAAACTACTGTGGACACTGGAAATCTGAAACAAACACAGAAAATGCTGGAGAGACTCAGTCTGAAGAAGAGTCATCAAACTTGAAACATTACCTCTGCTTCTCTCTGCACAGATGCTGCCAGACCTACTGATTTCCTCCAGCATTCTCTGTGCTGGTTTCAATGCACTGGGCCTGCCCCTCTCTCCTGAGACCAAATCTAAATATTTCAAAAGCCATCCTAATCTGTTTTCAAGATGGCAAGGCATCAATTTAGCTCAGCTTTGTTAGATTCTATGCTATATATCAAGATACCCTGCTGATTATCTGAGAGTTAAAGCAATTGGTGAACTCTGAAGCAAGATAACTGCAATAATCCTTTTAAATCACACTACTTTTCTTCCTCTAACACAAATGTATTTTATGAAAAACTTTTATATGCAAAAAAAAGTCGTCACCTCTAAGAGATTTTAGACTGCATCATTTCTTACTATTCAAATATGTTATTTTACACCTCTGTTCAAATTGCCATGCCCTCAAGCCCTCTTTATCTCCTGTGAATTAATACATACATAGTTATTTGTTGTTATCATGTTAGATGTTTGGCTTTGTATGATGTCAGTTTCTTCTTTGAGTCTAACCTCTGCCCCAGTTTGTTGATTACGTGAATGTACAGAACAACAATTATAATCAGATTTCTTCTGTAAAACCTAACTTCAGTAATGATATAAAAATAGACACACCGTATCACCAGACTTCTGTAGGCCACTTGACTTAACTTAAGCAGAGTGGGCACTGTAGATCTGTGCTGCAGACCATGGCATAATCTATTTCCAATGAGATCTCTCTTTTTTTAAGAGAACAGAAGCTGTCTTTTAATCTAATGAGACTATTTTCCATCACAGAAAATCCACCAGTTTAAATTGTTAATGACTCCTAAATCCTTCAAATTAATAGGATGATTACAGCGGCCAAATATCTGAGCAATAATCAGAATGCCAATTTATCTTTCATTGTTGGCTCAGATGTCCTCATCCAAAATCTGGTTTATGGCTATCAAACCAGCTGTTCTGTGAATGTAGCCTCTTGAGCTCCACATTTAGCTCATTTTTAAAAAGTATTGAATCAAGGTTATCCCTCTGGTGACTGTGTCTGAAATCCTGAAATGTGACAGAGGAAATTAATTAATAATAATTCTGAAGAAGGGTCATTGGATGCGAAAATTTAACCATGCTTTCTCTCCACAGATGCTGCCAGACCTGCTGAGTTCTCCACAAATATTGAGGTTGTTCTGACAGAGTAGAAACCAGCAAACAGCAACATAGTAATGCCTTTATCAACAGAAGAAATGTCCAAAGATGTCCAGAAGATGCCCACGTTCATAATATTTTTCCATAGGTTCATCTGTCATTGATTGGAAAAAGCCATATTACATAACATATCTAGACTTCCATGATAAAATGCTGCATTAATGTTGTCAGAATCAAGGCTCAAATAACGTAATGTGTAGTTTTCCCAAGACTCAGTGTGATAGTATGTTTGGACAGTATGGAACCTTTAATTGAAAATATCGGTATGATATTTTTTAACTAAATGCTCATAAATGTTAAGCCATTAGCTGTTAAAAATTAGAATAATTTTGTCAAATTTGGAACCAGAAATATTATGATTAGATGTTTTTGCAGTATTGATGTATTGTTGTGGAAAGTCCTCCAAATTCCACTGATGTTTGATTGACAAAAGAAAATAACAGGAACAATACTGTTAGGAGTTTCTTTGCACAACATTGAATATGTCTGTCAACTAAAACTGGTGTCCTCAGATACTTTCTTCCCATCATCAATATATTTATAACAAATAAATCATGGTGTTCAAAGAAAATGAAACACGCGTTTTCTTTGATAATAAATCACTCAGGGATAGCAAGAACTGCAGATGCTGGAGTCAGAGACAACAACAAAATGGCCTGCTGTGTTCCTCCAGCTCCACACTGTGTTTTCTTCGGTAATGTCCAGCAGGGAAATCTTGAATCCAGTCTCGGAGAGTTGACAATGATGGGATGTTACCAGACCTCCAGCAGCCCCCGTTGTCAGTCTGCCCCTTCTACGGTTGCTATCGGTTGTCGTGGAAACCGGCGGCGCGCTTGCGCGGTCGATGGCTGGGCGGGACT